TGATGCATCTACCTGTATTCTTCTACCATGATAGAGGGTGTAAAAGTCGTGAAAATCACAAAATATGTGGTTAAAAATAAATGTAAATTTCTTGCCAGTTGTACGCCCATATCTAAGGAAGAACTACAAAGTATACCTTTATCAATGAAGGGATATTAAATAAAGATTTGTAATCCTATGATTGTTTGGGATTGAAGAATACAGCTACTCGCACCAACACAGCTGCTGGGACAATGAACTGTCAAACCAATTTTCGAAAATTGTTAAAAATAAAAAGGCATATCAAAACAACCTCTGACTGGCGTCGTATAGGAAAACATATACAAATCTACTTATTTTTGAAAAGAAAATACATTTAAACATTTCTGACATTGTTCCCAAGCGTTCCTGTTCTTGTATTCCTCTACCATGGAATTACCTTTGTAATTGGAAATCTTAAATTTTAATCCGGATGATTAAGATTTCCATTTTTGCAAAGTAAATTACATTTAGTCATTGAAAATTACATTGCACCTTAGCTGAAAAAAATGTATTGTGTAAACAAGGTTCCAACAATAAAAATTTCATGTCACCTAAAAAGACAAATGTCCAGAACATTTTCATTTCCAGAAACCAAAAACGAAGAAGAAATGTGTCGAGATAATAAAAGACAAAACATTCTCCAAATAAACGCCAAATTACGTCGTAGCTGTTTTCTTCTCAAATTTATTATTGTTACGGCTGCTTGTTATTGTTGTTATTGTTATTTGTACATTAATATATTTATAAAATAAATACCATTTAGCAATATATACTCAACGGGCATGCATTCATTTCAATTTAAACAAAGTGAAGTGGAGCAGCACTTGAGTGATCTTTCACTCTTCATGGGATGGGATGCCAGCGTGAAATTGTCTAAGGCACACATCATTTTTAATTGTGGAGATTCGTCCAATTGAAGAATTGCCCAAACTCGACAGCTGTTTGAAAGCTGTGGGGAGAAGAGAAGGGCAGCGCTATGAGGTTAATTTTATGTGTGAACACTTGGTATTGATCACCCGTAATTGATACACATTTGAAAAAATAGAGATCACACTTGGTCATTGAAATCCAATTCAGCTGGCGGGGGAATTGAAGATTTCACATGGGAAATAAAGATATCCTACATAGCATCTAGTTTAGCTGGGCGGGAGAGCATATTTTCATATTGGAATTCTAAAGGTGGGAATACATAAAGCGCTTATCGTAGAGGAACAAATGAGTTTTAGGTTGACTTAGTTCGATTTTGGCCCTAGGTTCCTTTATTCAGCCAGCCGATGACTTATGCCAGTCAGAAAATCTCTTTATATACTTCCACCTTAAGGGTGTAAGTACATAAGAAGCCTGAAGTCTTCGCATGGTATATTTTGTGATATATAGAGGGTAAGATGAAAAAACTGCAACCAACTTCAGACCGCTGTCATTTTTATGCCACTCGTCCGACAGTTCTTAAAATTATTCCAGTGACAGCTCATTATATTGTTTACAAGCGTACGAAAGCATTTTGGTGAGAATTTTCTAGAAAAAAAAAAATTCGTGATGGAATTTAAGCGTGATAGTGTGATTTCTGTGATATTTGGCTGGAAAACCACAAGTGGCTTATGTTAAGCTGGGAATATATAAAGCGCTTATTTGGCTGGCTTAAGTCATCGGCTGGCTTCTTCGGAAATGAACAAAGGAGGCTAGGGCCAAAATCGAACTAGGTCAACCTAAAACTCCTTTGTTCATCTACGAAGAAGCCAGCCGATGACTTGAGCCAGCCAAATATGCGCTTTATGTATTTCCAGCCTTAGAGCACTCCTGCATTTAAATGTGAATAAATCTTTTGTGTCTCGTACCATCGCTCGTTACCGTGATACTGGCTCGTAGCGTAGCCCGACGTCAAGGAAGTGGACGGAAGAAAACAGCAACATCAGCAGCAATGGTTTGGAAAGTAAAGAAGCGACTTGATCGAAATTCGCGTCGCGTCGCAGTGGCCAAAAAATGGCTCGTGAGCTGAACCTATCGTAATAATCCATTCGGCAAAAATTTAAAAAATGAGGTCGGGGTCAAGTCATTGAAATTCCAAAAAGTGCAAGAACTTACACCGCAACGGAAATAAAATAGACTCAAAAGGGCTAAAAAGTTGCTTCGCTTGGCCGAAAGTGATGGATTGCCGAATTTGATTTTCTCCGATGAGAGAACATTCGCCACAGTTGTCCAGCAGTTTGTAAACAAATAAAATTATCGTGTTTACTTGCCAAAGAGGTCAGCTGAAAATGTGCACCTTCGGTTGGTCACCAGAACTTAAGCGCCGGTCACGGTAATGGTGTGGGCCGCCATAAGGGTGGAAATGCATAAAGCGGATATTTGGCTGGCTTAAGTGATCGGCTGGCTTCTTTGTAGATGAACAAAGGAGTTTTAGGTTGACTTAGTTCGATTTTGGCTCTAGGCTTCTTTGTTCATTTCGAAGAAGCCAGCCGATGACTTAAGACAGACAGATAAGCGCTTTATGTATTCCCACCTTTACAGCCGATGGTCGCTCTCCGCTCGTATTAATCGATCATCAGAATAAATGCCGAATATTATCGCGAAAATATTCTGGAGGGTGTATAAAGCCTGGGGTATGCAAACATTTTGACCACAGGCCTTGGACATTCCAACAGGACTCAGCACGCGCCACCCAAGAATGGTTACAAATTGAGGTTCCTCGCATCATTTCCAGCGCACAACGGCTACCAAAATCTCCGGATACCAATCCGTTGGACTATTGTGTCTGGAGTATTTTGGAAAGCAAGGTTGTCACTAAAAAATACGAAAGTGTCCTCAAGCAAGCGCTTCGCCGGGAATGGGTCAAAATACTGCAGAGCAACATTCGGGCAGCGTGTGACGGTTTCATTGGCCGTTTGAAGGCCATAATTCGTGCCAAAGGTGACCAATTCGAACAAATCTAAACTTATTCTAAAATTTGATGTTATTTCCGAAATTTTTTGCTTTTATTCAATAAAATTAAAAAAAAATGTAAAAATTATGGCGTTTGACTTTGTTGCAGTTTTTTATCTCACCCTGTATCTTAAAGGAATGCCAGAGGTGCACTCGAATCCTGCCATTGTTTCCAATTATAATTTGACATTTATATGCCTAGCATGGTAGAAGAATACAGGTAGATGCCTCAAAGCTTGGGAACATTGATATGTCAAAAAATTTTAGATGTCATTTCAAATATAAGTAGATTTTTATATGGTTTCTTATACGACGTCGTTCGAAGGTTATTATAATACGCTTTTTTGAAAAATTTTTACAAATTTGAAAAATTTGTCATTCAACATTTTCAATTCCAAAATTGGTTTGACAGTTCATTGTCCCAGCAGCTGTAACGATGCGTCTACCTATATTCTTCTACCATGTATGCCTAGCCACTATCAAAATCTGCTATGTACCCTTACCTTAATTCAGCTGGCTGGATTGAAGATTTCTTATAAGAAACTTTATTTAATATTTTCCACAGAAATCCCCATTCCCAATTTTAATTGGGAAAACAAAAACTACGAAAACTAACTTTCGAAAATTAAAACTACCCAAAATGCCAGAAAAATATCTGTTTAGATTCTTTCCTTTGTTTATCTAATAATGACCTTGCCACTTTCTATAATTCTACATCTGTCAAATGGGCCTACACACACACACCATCCAACACAGCCTCCCCCAGTCGTCGCCAAGAAAACAAGTTTTCGTGCCAAAAAAAGGCAAAAGGCAAGTGGTTAAGAATTATCAAATAAAAGTTCCGAAAAATATCTTGATAAACAACAACTGTCTAGCAACAACAACACTACAAAGTATTTTAATTTGATTACACTATATTAGGAATTTCAAGATATTTATAAAAAAACACTTATGTTTATGTGTATGTAACAGAACATGGGTGTGCATGTGACTGTGGTGTGTTTACGTCATTATTTTGTAATTCTGTGAAACAAAAAAATATAAAATATTTATAATTTTGTTTTTTAATTTCTATGTTGATTTATGACAATGACCAAATACAAACACCGACACACTTTTATAAGTGACCACAATATATACATAGCTACATAAAAGTGTTTAGATACATATAAATAAAATGTTTATGAAATATATGAAATATCAAATAATTTTGCAATAAAATGTATTCCCACCTGACTGAATAGATAATTCCATGGTAGAAGAATACAGGTAGTCGCTTCGACACAGCTGCTGGGACAATGAACTGTCAAACCGATTCTGGAATTGAAAATGTTGAGTGAAAAATTATTAAATTTTGTAAAAATTGTTGAGAAATGCATATGTAACAACCTCCGATTTGCTTCGTATAAGAAAATATATAAAAATCTACTTATTTTTGACAAAACAATTTTAAAATTTTGACATATCAATGTTCGCAAGCGTTGATGCATCTACCTATATTCTTCTACCATGGAAAATTCCAAAAGAGATGCGACTAACTGTATTCTTCTATCATGCCGCCAAGGCAATATGCAAGTTTTTGAAAAGATCAGTGAAACAAAATTTTAAAACCACATTTATGGATATTTCATTGCCATTTAATTCATTTATTAAAATTATCGGTTGAGTGTACAAATTGTGGTCAAATTTTGACTAACGAGTTTAAAGGAATGGCCAATTTATAGAGGAATTAAGTTTTATGTAGAAAGTCCCCAATTCAGTCTTGCTGATAAGGTTCGTTTTTAAATTTGGTAGGTGCTCTATCACTCATTTCCTTGTTGGATAGATGAGTTTATTATTATTTATTTATGGGGGGATATTTCGGCGGATATATGTTTTATTTTCATTGTTAATTATTAATTTTATTATTCCTGTTCTCCGAATATTCCTATGTTCATGGAACGTTTTTTATTATGATTGGTCTCCAACAAATCATATGACGGCTTTAACCAGCAACACTGGGGCATTTGCAACTAGTCACCGGAAACTGATAGCCCACAATTTAACGTCGTCGCCTTTGTTGACCTATCATATGATATACCGCCGCTGAAAAAATCATCCCACTTCGTTGTCTGCCCCCAGCCACATTTCATTTGTTGCCTTCATTTCGTCATATCTTCCGGCTGGAGATAATAATTGTTATTTATTGTTTATTTAAATCTTTTTGTTGACTTATAAGGTAATACTTCAACTGATAGCATCACTCCCTTAGAATAGATTCCATAGATAACATCGTTTTTACAGTATTTTCACAGAAAATGGCTGATGACCTGATTGCGAAATTCCAATCACTTGGAATGAGTGAACAGAAGGCCAAAGAGACGGCAAAAAATGCAAACGTGAGCAAAAATTTACAGCTGGTACTGGAACAATGCAATGGTGCATCCTTGGCCGATGGTGTGGGTATGTTGCTGTATCACATGGCCACAAAAATTAAACCACAGTGTGCGGAAAATTTGCCACTACTCGTTCTTTATATTGTGGAGAAGAAACTGGACTCCACAATGAGAGTGGATGCCGCCTTGGAATATCTGCTTAAATGTGCCGTCCAGAAAAAGGGCCAGAGTATTGATTGCGCCGAATTGAATAAAGAATGTGGTGTGGGAGTGGTGGTGACACCTGAAGAAATTGAAAGTGTGGTCCAAAAGCAAGTGGCCAAGCACAAGGAAGCTTTGTTGGAACAGCGTTATCATTTCAATAGTTTTAAAATTATGCAGGAGGTAAGAGAGCAGCTTAAATGGGCTGATGCCAAGAGTGTAAAGGCAGCCATTGATGTGGAAATCTTCGATTTGTTGGGACCCAAAACAGAGGAGGATATGAAACCTTTGGCCAAGGGTGACAAGAAAAAAGAAAAGCCCAAGGCAGCAGATAACAAAGCGGCACAGAACAAAACCTCAGCAACGGCAGCTAGTAAGGAAGTGGAAACATCGTCAGATGGAGCCAACACCATTGCCGAGTTGATGAAAAACAAGGTACATTTCCATGCACCTGGTGAGAATTACAAAACCGATGGTTATGTGGTGACAGACAATACAGAAAGGCTGTTGAAAGAACATCTCAAGGCCACTGGTGGTAGGGTCCAGACCCGTTTCCCACCTGAGCCCAATGGTATTCTACACATTGGCCATGCCAAGGCAATTAATATTAATTTCGGCTATGCTGCTGCCCATAACGGCGTTTGCTATTTACGTTATGATGACACCAATCCCGAAAAGGAGGAAGAGAAATTCTTTGTTGGCATTAAGGATATGGTGGAATGGTTGGGCTACAAACCATATAAAATTACCCATTCCTCGGACAATTTCCAGCAGTTATATGAATGGGCTGTGGTGTTGATACGTAAAGGTTTGGCCTATGTTTGCCACCAGACGGCCGATGAAATGAAGGGTTTCAATCCCAAACCAAGTCAGTGGAGAGATCGTCCCATAGAAGAGTCACTGCAGCTTTTTGAAGACATGAAAAACGGTAAAATTGATGAGGGAGCTGCCACATTGCGTCTCAAGGTGACTCTGGAAGAGGGCAAGGTTGATCCCGTGGCATATCGTATTAAATTCATTGCCCATCATCGTACCGGCAACAAATGGTGTATTTATCCCACATATGACTACACTCACTGCCTTTGTGATTCCTTGGAAAACATTACCCATTCGCTGTGTACCAAGGAATTCCAATCGAGAAGATCCTCCTATTACTGGCTGTGCAATGCCTTGGATATATACTGTCCCGTACAATGGGAATATGGTCGTTTGAATATGAACTATGCTTTGGTATCGAAACGTAAAATTGGCAAATTGATAACGGAAAAGATTGTCAACGATTGGGATGATCCACGTCTATTCACCTTGACAGCATTGCGTAGAAGAGGCTTCCCCGCAGAGGCAATCAATAATTTCTGTGCCCAAATGGGTGTGACAGGGGCTCAAATTTCCGTTGATCCCTCCATGTTGGAGGCATCGGTACGTGATGTCCTGAATGTAACAGCTCCCCGAAGATTGGTGGTAATTGAACCTCTCAAAGTTACACTGGAGAACTTCCCCCATGCAAAACCAATTGAAATTGATGTTCCCGATTTCCCGCAAAATCCCGAGAAGGGCTCACATAAAATGACACTGGATCGTGTTATTTACATTGAACAAAGTGATTTCAAATCGGAACCAGAAAAAGGCTACAGACGTTTGGCTCCTGGCCAAAGTGTGGGTCTGCGCCATGCCAATTTGGTGATATCCTTGAAGGAGGTTAAAAAAGATGCAGCCGGTCACATAACCGAACTTGTGTGTGAGTGCCAGCCCACGGAAAGTGCCGAGAAACCTAAAGCATTTATTCAATGGGTATCCCAGCCCATTGAAATCGAGGTACGCCTTTATGAGCTGCTGTTCAAACACAAAAATCCTGAAGATCCCAATGAAGTGCCTGGTGGTTTCTTGTCGGACATCAACCCCAATTCTATGGCCGTTATGCAATCCTATGCCGATCGTTCACTAGCCAATTGTAAGGTCTACGATAAGTTCCAATTTGAACGCATTGGTTTCTTCTCCGTTGATCCTGACACCAGTAAAGACAAAATTGTGTTCAATCGTACTGTCGGCCTTAAAGAAGATGCTGGCAAAAAGTAAAAGAATTCAATGGTTTCAAAAATCTTTGATTTTGTAAAAAAAAAAAACAAGAATAGCGAAAGAGAATTGTAAATTTAAATCTAAAATTGGCGTGAAAAGTTTTATAAACTTTAAACATATTTTTCAAAAATAAAAAAAAAACATTTTTTCCAAAAATATTAATCTGTAGTTTTGCTAAAAACATAAAAACTATTTAGAGTCTTTTTCTGTTTTTCATTTATGATACAAAAGACGAATTATGAGCGTGTCAAAATTACTTCATCTTCATAAAAACTTCTACCTCCATGTACCTTTCTATGTTTGAGTTATTGAATCCCATTTATTTACTTCTTTTTCCCTGAGAATCACTTTTCAGTGTAAAGTTAAAAACTATTGATGGATTTAATTTTCGTTAGTTGGCCGTTAGGGTAATTTTATGATCCTATTTTTTGGGATTATCAAAGTCTTGGAAATTCATTTCAGTATAAAAACATAATAACAAAATTCGTTTATTTCTTTCCTTCTACCATAATAATGTGGTAACCAAATTTCGTCTTAACTGGTGGATCGGTATAAATTGGATTATTAACGGTGGAAACTGGCAGAGCGAATGCAGCATCTTGGAAGGGTCCCACCATAGCACCACGTATTTGCCAACCCAAATCACCGCCTTGACGTGCCTTATCTTCACTGTATGCTGCCGCTACTTCGGGGAATTTTTGACCAGCCTTCAGTTTTTCCATGGCCTCGAGAATCTTTCCTTGTTTTTCGCACAGAATGTGTCGCACCTTTACAGCATTACCGCCCTTCTTTTCTTTGCCTGCAAAAGAGAGAGAGAACAGTTGAATTGATTATTCTGTAAAAATTCCTAGACAACCTGAGTTCAAAAAGTTTCAAAGTCTTCTATAGACAATAGACGATCTGAACGTCTTAAGGATATTCTTATCCAACTTTAGCAGACTTCCCACTGACATGCCTTTCGAAATCATTCATTTTTCCCTTCTGAGTTAACTCCACAGTTAATTTAATAGCAATGTTAAGCCACCTGGGCTACATTATTATCCTCTAAAATTCTTAGGGATGTTAAATGGTGCACCTAACTTCTTATCCGATATTCCGACTATATGTAAATGCAATAATTGACGACCGTATGTTTCCCATATTTCAAATCAATGTAATCACCTTTTTCTTCAGCTGCTCCAGCGCCACCTTTCTTGCCGCCAGCATCCTTTCCTTTACTGCCACCTTTGCCGTCTTTCTTTGGAGGCATTATGATATATTTATTTTATAAATTATTTTGTCCACTTGGCCAAAAAGTTCCGCCATACAATTTCCTACCAAGATCAATGTTTACAATTTGATAGAGGTTATGTTGCTGTTGAAACGTCAAAAAAATCAACTCTTCTCAATATGGCAACACACTTTTTAGGGATATGTAAGTCGACTTTTGTCTAATTGGGTTTCTTCTTGAAATATCGAAAAAACGGAATTTGTCTTTAGAAAGAAGATTGAAAATAAGAATAAAATGGAATTTTTATAATATCCAGTCAAAAAAAAAAAAAAATTCTGTGCCACCATGTATGTTTAAATTTATTGCAGAAAATATATATATATATTTTGTATAGTTAATGCTAGTTTTGGTGTGTGTCATATGCCAGCAGCATTCAGCAGATTGTCATTGTAAAAGCTGTTGTAAAAGTCAAAAGATTATTAAAATTTATTTTCAGTACAATTGTTGTGTTTCCGTACTTTTTGAAACTAGTTAAAGAAAGAAATGTTATATTCACATGGAAACGGATTTCAAGTAAACACTATTGTAAAAGTAGCATATATATATAATATTGCAGGTTTCGGAACACAAATGATTTCTGCAGAAATTCCGACATAGAAAGAATTGATGTGGTTGATATTGATAAAGTTTTAGTTCTTCCAGTTTTATGTTCAACACTGAAAAAATTGGCTTTAACTATTTGTTTTATCCAGAACACAATTTTCGCAAGCTAATTCCGCTTTTATGCACTACCCTGTAATTCCGGCGTAATACTTGTTATTGATAATTTCACTTTGGTGTTCACATAGTATATAACAATTTACAGAAAAAAATAAATATTATGAGAGGGGGGATATTAATTTAATTCATTCTTTAATGCAACATCATTTTTTTTCTTTTATAACATATTTGTTCCCCTCATTTCGAGTTCATCGTTTTATATATATAGTGCCCCAAAAGTCGATTTATTGACTAGCCGATAGTCGACCTAGCTACCCCTATTCTCTTTTCTTTCTGAACTGAACAAAAAAAGTTCATCGAGTATTTTCGTAAGTGGAATTTGCTAAAAATTTATTAAAAATATTAAATCAAACGTAAAAAATTTGCTAAAAATCTATAAAATTCTTCATTTAGATTCAATCGGTCACGAAGTAAGAACAGAAAACCTCCAACAACATGCCGAAAAACAAGGGTAAAGGTGGTAAAAATCGTCGCCGTGGAAAGAACGAAAATGAATTCGAGAAACGTGAATTGATTTTCAAAGAAGATCAGCAGGAATATGCCCAAGTGACAAAAATGTTGGGAAATGGCCGTTTGGAGGCAATGTGCTTTGATGGTGTGAAACGTTTGTGCCACATTCGGGGGAAACTCAGAAAGAAGGTAATTGTTTGTTCCATCCAATCCAACTCATCAAAGAAAAGGAAGATTTTTCTTTTCGCTTGAAAGTGAATAATAGAAATTGAAATGTTATTTTTGCAAATGTTTTTCATGAACGTGTGTTTCGACGGACTTTGTGTGTATGTGTTGGCTGGTGCAAGTGTGTTCCCCATATACACAATGTGTGTGTGTGTAAAATGAAAGTGGCCAATAGTGTGTGTGTTTATACTGATGACAGCGACAATAGCGAATTATAATAGCCGCGCATATACAATTTTTTACCTCAAGTTCATTTAACCTTTTATCATCGGGATGGATGTTGTTAAATTGTTTGTTGTTAAAATGACAAGGCCATAAGGGAATGTGCAAGGTTTCTTCTTAAGAAAAAAAACCCACTGGGTTTTGTGTGCATCAAAACAAAGATGCTGCCAAAGTATGTATGTAGGTATTGCGATTTTCAATTATCAGTAACCTCTTATGTATTGTGTGATTCATTAATAATCAAGGATACCTTCAATGATTACCTGCCTCCGCCCGTTTACATGCACTATTCCATCATGATTTTTCATGTTAAAAATTACGATTATAATTTCACAATTTTGATACTCTGATGGGTACTTGTAATCAATGAATAGATTCAATTTGTAGACACCCCATGTGTAAAATGTAAATAGACGCAGACTGGAACATGCATTTAATTTACTTTTATGTCCAATTCAAAGTGCGTCATATTTGCTAACATGGTAGACAGATAGACTTCGAACATTTAACCATATTTGTTAAGCACGTTTGATAAATAGGCGATATAATATCGAAGAATTTTCCAATATACAAGGATTACGGATTTTGGTAAAAACTTAATTTTTTTTAATTTTTTTTCCTGTGCTAGTTGTTTTTACTCTTATCCGGGAAACTATTTTTTCTTGGGGGACGGACCCGGGACCCCAGTTTTTTGACCCGAAAGTCCGGGTTCAAGACCCCGACTAGACCCGGATCCACTTACCCTTTATAGAAAATATAGGTATCGTTTGAAAGCTTATGAAAATACCAATTCAACAATCCTTTCGGATTTTTAGTCAAATTATCGATTTTTTGGTTCCGGATTTTTTATAAACCCACCAAAAAGTCGAAAAGGGGCCCAAATTTATGCCAAATTATTGCTGACACTCTTACCGTTCAAAAATGCTACAATTTGTGCTGATACCTTTTATGAGCTCAGAGATATGGGTCTTTCCACTCGTATCTGACTAGTTCATTAAAATTATGTTTTCAATAAAGAAATGTTTATTTCGCGTTTTGGCGTCAACTTGGTTCACCCCCATAATGGGCACTTTTTCGACTATTTTGGGTTTTTATAATAAAATCCGGGTTCAAAAAATCAATAATTCGAACCGCTTAAAAATCATGTGACCACTTGTTGGATAGGTATTTTCATAAGCTTACCTATATTGTCTATATCGGATACGGGTCCAGTCCCGGTCTTTAACCTGGACTTTCGAGTCAAAAATCTGGGGTCCCGGGTACGTCCCACAAGAAAAAATAGTTTCCCGGAATAAGTGTCAAAAATAACTACCTCTGGAAAAAAATTCTAAACTAAAGCTTTTCCCGGATCTTTAATAAATACTGAACAGATGCATTGTATTTAGCGGAAAACGGGTTTATATTTATATTCCAATATTAAATCAGGTGAAGGTTGATATATGACGGAATTTCCTTCCAGCTGTCCCATGATGAGACGATTTTGAATCTGTCCATGGGTGAAATTCTTTAGCCCCAGTCGAGGTCTCGCATTCTATGACTTTTTATGATTCTGAATCTGTGCCAAGGAAAGAGTCCCATGTCCGTCCGCTTGTGGAAATCACTCTAGCCCCCAAATAAAGTTTAGTAGGTTGATAATTTTGATCCGATTTATCTTAGCTCCATAGATCTTTTTTTTAATGAAAATGGGCAATATGGGTCCACATTTTGGTATAGTCTCATTTAACTGTACCAACGGATTTAGGATTGTTTTAGTCAAAATGTTAACCAGAATTTGCTAAAAATGTACAATTTTTATTCTCAGTGTGTAGTAAACATGCCTGCATAGAACTTTTCATATGGGTCCATGTTTTTGGTATAGTGCCCATATAACTGTATCACCAAATGTTCGGTATTTTGATAATTTTAGCCCCACTTTTCGCCAGAATTATTTCAAATTTAGAAATTGGTAGAACAATTCCTGTAAAGATCCACGTCTTCATATAGCAGCCATATAATAGTGCCCCCACTCCCAATGTTCGGTATTTTGATGATTTTAGCTATGTTTTTGGAATTCGTAATAGACACCACCTTCTTTGGCTAATAATTGACTATAGAGGTCCACGTTTTCCTATAGCCCCAAAAAATTGTGGTCTTAACCGAAGCTGGGCTTTTAGCATAGACTTTCACTGGACCTCAAAGGGAAGTCAAATGACAAGATCTCAATTGACAATTGTGATCATTCAAAATTTTTCTCACAGATTTTCTTGTGTAGCACGTAATCTAGATGAATATCATCCGAAAGCGACCATAAAAAATCATTATCTTTGGACAATACAATCTATTCACTGTTGATTCAACCTTATTTTCGAAAAGATATGGTCCATTGAGTCTGTCGGTATGGAGAGGCTGGTTGAGGATGGAGGGTTTCCCAAAAATAACTCTTGTGTCCCAGATGCGACGTACAAAGGCATAGCCACAAAGGTGGAAATCAGCCTCATATGTTGAGATGATTTTTCTATTGAATTCTGGATCTTTCAATCAGTTAAGACCCAATCAGCAAAAACACGAAGTGGTTAACGACCGGGCGGATTGAGAGACTTGTCTTTATTCGTCGACGTACTGTCGTCTGTGCAATACCCAAATCCGAACAAGGAATAAACAAACCAGGAGTTTCTGCAACAACATGCTTTTATTAACACCCAAGAAACATGCCTTTATTAACAGCTCGAATTAGTCAAATATTTTCTGTATCCTGTATTACAACATGATAACACTTCGTGTTGGGAGACCCTGTAATTAACATTATGTTTAATGAGTCAAATCTTAAGAATCTGGAAATGTCACTAACTAACAACGTTCTCTTGGGGCATTATGACTCACTTTATATCTCAGGGGTTTTTTTTTTAATTTATTAGTCTTCAGTAAAATTAAATGAGGAATACTTTTGTAGAGCACTTTGTCTATCCCTTTAATAATGTTTTCGTTGGACTAGAAGTGCAGATTTTTTGATATCCAAGACGGGGACGTGCACGGAAATGCGTTCTGAAAACATTATTGAGGTGTCCCACTACCAAAAAAATGAAGATATGTAGGAGAAATAACAATCGGTCACCACACTCTGAACGTCCCTGGTACAAATATTTTTCAAAAACGTTGTTCAGTTGATTTTAGGTAAGATCACCAATGGCAAGAAATGAATGTAAAGTTTTTTTTTATTTTAGTACATTTCTTACAAGCTAGTAATCATGTCAAATCGGATAGGTATGAAGATCGATCATATATTTGATATTTCGTAAAAAAATATAGAAAAATAAAGAAATGTTTTTCCAAATAATCCCTTTTTTAAACAAAAAATGGAATATAATAATAACCATCATTACCCCCATTGTTGCTAGATATCTTCACGAAAAAATAGATTTATCTAATAGCACCTAATTGATTTCTTAAGAATATCTCAAAACCTTTCCTTACCTGAATTCTATTATAAGAAATGGTGTCATATTTTTTATTGTTTCTAAATGACAAATGCGTCTTCTTGTTCCATCCTTGATTAAATTCAACTAATACAAGATGAAAACATCATGTGAAGGTTTCGCTGCAGAATTGCGTTATTTAGTATTTTCACAACATTTCGAAATACGTCGTCATCGAAGTTTTGTAAATTTTCTGCTAAAGATAATTGGAGTTTCATTTTAATTAAATTTGAAATGTGAATGGTATATTCAATGTTTGATTTATGATAAAAAATGTGACGTATACAAATACATGTATTCAAATTAACTGGAATCACAACGATATCATTTACATAAAATTCTTATCATTTATTCAAGTTATTTTCTGAAGGCCCACGTTTCTGTAAAGTCCCCATATACAGGGTGAGATAAAAAAAAACTGCAACAAAGTCAAACGCCATAATTTTTACATTTTTTTTTTTAATTTTATTGGATGAATTGATTTGATTAGGTTTAGATTTGTTCGAATTGGTCATCTTTGGCACGAATTATGGCCTTCAAACGTCTAATAAAACCGTCACACGCTGCCCGAATGTTGATCTTCGGTATTTTGGCCCATTCCCGGCAAAGCGCTTGCTTGAGGTAATCGACACTTTGGTATTTTTTAGTGCCAACCTTGCTTTCGAAAATACTCCAGACACAATAGTTCAACGGATTGGTATCCGGAGATGATTTTGGTGGCAATTGTGCGCGAGGAACCTCATTTTGTAACTATTCTTGGGTGGCGCGTGCTGAATGCGATGGAGCTGAGTCCTGTTGGAATATTCAAGGTCTGCGGCTAAAATGTTTGCATGCCCAAGACTTTAATACACCCTCCAGAATTTTTTTGCGATAATATTCGGCATTTATTCTGATGCCACGTTCGATTAATACGAGCGGAGAACGACCATCGGCTATTATGGCAGCCAAAACCATCACCATGGCCGGCACTTGAGTTAAGTTGGCCAACCGAAGGTGCACATTTTCAGCTGATCTCTTTGGCAAGTAATCACGATCATTTTGTTGTTTACAAACTGCTGGACAACAAATGTTTTCTCATCGGAGAAAACCAAAACCAAATTCGGCAGTTCACCACTTTCGGCCAAGCGAAGCAACTCTTTAGCTCTTTTGAGTCTATTTTCTTTGAGTTGCGGTGTAAGTTCTTGCACTTTTTGAAATTCCAATGGCTTTACCCCGAGCTAATTTTTCAATATTTGCCGAATGGAATATTGCGATATGTTCAGCTCACGAGCCATTTTCCGGCCACTGGACCACCTACCAGTATCACGGTAACGAGCGATGGTACGAGACACAAAGATTTATTCACATTTAAATACTGGAGTGCTCTAACGATAGCCACTTGTGGTTTTCCAGCCAAATATAAAGAAATCACACTATCACGCTTAAATTCCATCACGAAAAACTTCTGGAAAATTCTGACCAAAATGCTTTTGTACGTTTGTAGACAATATAATGAGCTGTCACTTGAATAATTTTAACAGCTATCGGGCGAATGGCTTAGAAATGACAGTAGTCTGAAGTTTGCTGCAGTTTTTTTCATATCACCCTGTATGTACACAGGTAACATACTTGATATGTATGAAATCGAAAGAAACTATAATTGACACAACTAAATCTGAATCATATCTCATGAATTTTATTAGAGCTTGTTGTCGTTGGGTAAAAAAAATGTTATCTCCATCGGACAATAAATGCGACTAAAATCACGCATTGTAATCAATCATCTGTTTTAGCCTTGCTTTACCCAAAATGTGCACATTTGTTTTCTAATTTGTTGTTAGACCTCACATGGCGATTCCAAGAATGTCAGTGTAAAATATATTTTATTTCTTGCATTTTTGTGTTATTTATCATAAAGTAGTACAGAATCTATTTAATTAATATTAAATCCTAAGACCGTTTGTTGTATTTTCGAAATTAATTGTATCAATTTATAACAACGGCAAATGAAACATGAAGACTCTTATCGTCACACGTGTTGAGTTTTAGGATATACAATTCTTAACCAATGACGTGTAAAGTCATTGCATTTTTTTGTGTTGCTCAATAAAGCAGATTTTGCTTTGCGCAAATTTAGAGGGCTGGCATAGGACCTTAATAAGTTAGATTTGGTATTGAATATAAATAGCTCTTCACATCAGACATTGAATTTATTGAGAGGTAAGCGGTTCAATGTTTTCATTTCGATATATCCATAGGAGGAAAAACAGTGGTAGACAGAAAAGGTGATGCTTGAGCAAACAATTGATGAGTTTAAAGACCAAAAAAAGATCTAGGCTACATAAGACTTATATAAAACTAATCAAGGTCCTTGGTTGCACACGTGGAAGATCAGAGAGACATTTGACCTACAAATTAAGAGCATTGTATTAATTAGTTTAGGCTCTACTAGTTTCAGAATAGTACGGTCGTCTTAATTCATATCGTAACGCGAATATATGAAAATGCGCAAAACGTGTATCCGCACACTACGCTGCTATTTTTATTTGACCTGCCAAACTACGCCAATGTCTACAGATTAGACTATTAAGTTAGCCGAATTTTTATACCCGCAGCCAACAGACAATGTCGGCTCACATTTTCCTCAACTTTTTGAATGATCACAACGTTTATAAAATGTTAAAGGAGAGTCCGATTGTCTTCAAAGTAAGCAGGTCCTACATGAAGATAGGATAGAATGGACCACTCCTTCTAGTATCTCCCTCACTAAGGATCAATCATAGCCTTCACAAATGCAAAATAGGAGTTAGATTCTTTTCAAACTCCCACAAAGGTTAAAAACTTTGAATACCCATAACCTTTATAAAATGCAAAATGAGAATCGGATTCTTTTCAAACTTAGCACATCCCAATATTTTCTATCAACAAAAGATCTGGTGTGGATATGGGATTTATAGGCCAACTCCTTTTGATCTGGTGTGGATATGGGTTTGTACTCTCTCCTTTTGATTTTCTACCCACACAAGGTCTAGTGTGGATATGGAATTTATAGTGCCACTGCTTTTGATACCTCCTTCAAAGGGGTCAACATTGCAAAACAATTCAACTATGGAAAAGGAGGCCAGAGATTGTTTATAAACGCGCTGTAGGCCAGGGAGTCTTTATAGACGAGCTGGAGGCCAGGGAGTCTTTATAGATGAGCTGGAGGCCAGGGAGTCTTTATAGACGAGCTGGAGACCAGGGAGTCCTTATAGACGAGCTGGAGGCCAGGGAATCTTTATAGACGAGCTGGAGGCCAGGGAGTCTTTATAGACGAGCTGGAGGCCAGGGAGTCTTTTTAGACGAGCTGGAGGCCAGGGAGTCTTTATAGACGAGCTGGAGGCCAGGGAGTCTTTATAGACGAGCTGAAGGCCGAAGGAGTCTTTATAGACGACCTGAAGGCCGAAGGAGTCTTTATAGACGACCTGAAGGCCGAAGGAGTCTTTATAGACGAGCTGAAGGCCGAAGGAGTCTTTATAGACGAGCTGAACGCCGAAGGCCGAAGGAGTCTTTTTAGACGAGCTGGAGGCCAGGGAGTCTTTATAGACGAGCTGGAGGCCAGGGGGAGTCTTTATAGACGAGCTGAAGGCCAGGGGGAGTCTTTATAGACGAGCTGAAGGCCGAAGGAGTCTTTATAGACGAGCTGTAAGCTCAAGGCCGAAGAAGTCTTTATAGTCGAGCTGTAGGCTGAAGGCCGAAGAAGTCTTTATAGACGAGCTGTAGGCTGAAGGCCGAAGGAGTCTTTATAGACGAGCTGTAGGCTGAAGGCCGAAGGAGTCTTTATAGACGAGCTGTAGGCTGAAAGCCGAAGGAGTCTTTATAGACGAGCTGTAGGCTGAAGGCCGAAGGAGTCTTTATAGACAGCTGAAAGCTGAAGGAGCCTTTATAAACATCTCAGATAAAGCGAAGGAAGTAATCGATATAGTAAAAACCTGGCACATCTTAAAATGTATATCAGAATTAGATTAGATACAAAGTGGACAACATTGATCCACTCCTTCGGTATCACCCCCATGAAGGGTCAACATATTGAATAATTTGACGCAAGTCAGAATATATTTTAATAAACTGACATAGGATGCATTAACTACTTATATTTTTTAAATTGTCAAACTTTGAGTTAGAATCAAAAGGAATTAGATGATAACAATTTTACAATGCAGCAATTATTCCTGTTACAATAACAAAGATCCCAAACGACCATAGTTCTAATAAGGCATGGGCAGCCACCTCAATCCATAATGCAATGACAGGTGAACTGCTGCAAAGGTAAAAAATCATAGCTTTCAAATCCCTTACTGTTTTGTCCATAACTCTCAAAGTAATATTAGGATATCGTCGCATTGGAATTCAGAGATATATGTAATCAGAAAATACCCATTCGACAATTTTCGTCAGATATTGGATAACTGAATTTTAAAAAATGGACTACTCTACTCCAACCTCTCTTCAATCAGCCTGAATTACCATTCTCACACCAAGAGTTGTAAATCTAAATTATTTTTTAAATTGTTGAGTTTTTTTTTGCAAATCTAATAGAATACATGTCATGTCTGCCTCCTACATTTAGTACACAACTTATCTAATCTTTGCCAAGAAATCGTCGTATTAGGAATTAAATGGAAAATTAAAACTCATGCCTAAATGTGTTAATATCTTGACACGCTTTTCGCACACCCACCTGAAGATGCTCAAGTTCTGACATGTTTTTCAAATCAGTTTTCTACATCTGGATTAAAAAGTTTCGTGACCATAATTTCATAATTGATAAGAATAGTTATTTAACTAAAATGGCCTTGTTGATTGGAGGGAGGAATTTCGAGTGTTTTATGGCCTGCACTGCAATCTTTTGCTCCAGCAATTGAAAATCGAACTTTTGACTTGCTAACACGTGATGCAGTTGTATTTGTTTTTGGGGGGCCAGCAATAAAGATGTTTGCAAAAAAAAATAAAAAACAAAACAAGTTAGAAATTAACCCATAAATATGGCGGCGGCCCACCAATACCCCCCTACCCCTTATCATGCAAATAATCAACATAAGTCTAATATGCCTTCATGGTAACATAAGTGGTATTGGTGGGGCTTTCTTGGTAACAGTGTATGTGATGGGTCGATAACTTCAAAATCTGTTCCCATTATGTCTTTAAATATATCTACAAAATTATGTTCGGTTAAAATTATGCCGGTGGCTGGTTACTTTGTCTGATAAGCAAAAAAATATCAAATCATGTTTTGCTGTCACCAGACTTTGTACGGCGTTAGAGGACCCCTCTGCCCCTCTAATGTCTTAAACGATTTGTGGGATTTTTTTTGTTGGCCTTTTGGAAAACTGGTGTATGAGTAATTCGTGTTAAGAATTTCACCATTCTCTTGTTTAAATTAATTCAAAGATAAGCAAAACACACAGAGAAAAATTTATGATTATTATTTTTTCAAGAAAAAAATTCTTAATTTTTTTTATTTTTGTTGTTCATTTTACAAAATTGTTTTTTAAATTATATTTTGAGATGCTTCTTAATATCTAATTACAATATTTTATCTTAAGAGCTATGAGATTTTATAAAATAGTAATACTAATAATAATTTAATATTTATTTTTTTTTTTAATAAAATAGAGCTTAAATTTAAACACAATTCGAGTTGGAAAGTTTTCTGAGAGTCTTTGGAGTTTTTTGAGTTTTAGGAACTTTTGGCTTTTGTTTTTTAGGGACTTGTAGTTTTTTTTTTTTTCATTGAAAAAGGAGTACGAAAAAAAAAAATAAAAAAGACTACAAAAATATTTTTATATTTTTTGCAGCATTTTTATTTTATTTTTTTTTTTTTTGTATTCCTTTTTTATATTTTTTTGTTTTTTTTTTTATTATTATTTTTTTTATCTTTTTGTGTTCCAATTTTTTTTTAAATTTTTTTGTTTTTATTTTTTTTTTTCATTTCTTTTTTGTATCCTTATTTTCTTCTTTTGTATTATCCATGTTTTCTTTTTTTTTTTTCTACTACTCAAATTGTGTTTCTGTTGTAATGATTTGTTCAATCCAATCGGTAAAGGCCGAAACCCTTACAAATACCGAGGGTGCATTCTTTTGGCCACAGGGCATTTTACCCCATGACACAATGCCAATAATTGTGGGCTTCACATTGCCATTTATATCGATCATATCATCTTGTATCAAAGGACCTCCCGAGTCTGCTGTACAAATACTAACACCACCTGTCAGTGGGCCGGTACACAAATTTGTATCATGTAACTGCATGCCGGACGAGGCCAATACTTGCTCACACAATTCCAAATCCAATATGGGCATATTTGCCTTTTGCAATTTATGCGGGTATTTGGGAACAATTGTCATTGAGACATTACCCCAGCCATAGAGAGTACCGTAACCCTCAGGTTCAGAATCTTGTTCGGGCAAATTTACCGGTTGTACAAATTTGTCGAAGATCAATGGCTCTTTGGTGTAGATCAGGGCTATGTCATAGGGATTGGCACCACCCAAGTAGAGTTCATGCCGGACATAGTAGTCAATGTGACGTAGTTGTACATGAGGACTTTCATTTCGGGCATGAATGTCATGACAACCGGCCACCACCACAGAATTGGCCACCAGCTGGGGATTGCTAAGGCAATGGGCTGCCGTTAATATCCAATGTTCATTGATAATGGTTCCGGCACAATAATGTACCAAACCCTCATCGGGTGTGAGTAGTTGTATTGACACCACATAGGGTGCGGAATGGGGTTCTGCTTCCCGTTTGGCCAGGAATTTTTGGCTCCACTGGGCCGACTGGGCCTCCAAGGTGCTAACAGCATTCTCCAAATATCCATAAGGTAAACTGTCTGCATTTCTTGATGTTTGTCGCGATAGACTTCTTCTTAGGCTGGCACGTGTTGATGTTTGTCGGGATAAACTTCTGGTTATGCTGACACGTGTTGCTGCTATTGATGTTTGTCTTGATAGACTCCTTGCTAGGGTAATACCACCGCCTGCGCCTCCGCCGACGGACAATGTTTTGCTGATGCTGCTGCTGCCCAACATTGGTAAATTGTTATTATTTGCCAGGACCACCATTGTGGGTAATAGGGTTGTAAGTAACAGTACATATACATAATTCAAGGCACAGCACATAATCTCTTCTTCTACGATGACGTTTAAACACGTCGAACACGTTGATAAATCCGTTGTGAAAATAGCTTTTAAATCGCATAAAATTTTATTTTGTATAAAGCACGGCGTAACCGTTTTTGTTTGCTGGCGCGATATGTTATTTCTATGGGGTTTCAATGTTAAATTAACTTAAGGTAGCCAGGTGGAGGGCTTATTTATAAGAAATTGGCGAAATCTCTCTCTCTCCTTGGAATTGCTTTAGTCTCTTTATTTTTTCGCCAAAACACGAAGAAAGCCGATCATTTTTGGCCAATGGCAAAATTTCTTTCTTATCAAAGTCGTTGCCGCTAGCCAGCTAGGTAAGCAAGCAAACAGCCTGTCAGCCAGCCACTCAGCCATACCCTCCATGTGAAATTCACGATTGTTTTATCTATTGCTCTATTTTTTTATTTGGCATTTATTATTACTCCCCCAAATGGTTTACAGTACCCAGCTGCCTTTTATGGTGTGGGGTATTCAATTTGTACTTGTCAGGCACTTTGATTAATTTGAAATACCATTTACATGAGTCAAGGGAGCAGTATTTTGAACCCTAGCACGCACCACTCCTCGCTCCCTGCCTTCCTTACCCATACCCCCCATACATTTATATTTAAAAAAATTACTAATTTATATTTTATGTTATGATTTTGGGAAGTACCTGCACTCTAAGGAATTTTTTCACTTGAAATAGGCATTGTTATCATCAGATCGGCAAGTTTTTTTTTTCTGATTATTATTTATGGCATTCTTATCTAAACTTAGAAAATTTTAATTGTTTGTATCATCTATCAATTAGTTAACATTTCAAGAGAGAGAGAGGGGTTATCTAGCACACGTTCAGATATATGATCTAGTTTTAAAGTCCCAAATCAATTCAACTTCTAAATTGTCACAATAAAAACGATAAACTTCAAAATACCTCCTGCTAGGCGCCTGCTAACTACCCAGCCAGCCAGCACAGTACTGGGCACACGTCATACCTCAATTTATTTTACTAAGAATTTATAGCGACTAATACCGCGACAGGCACGGTAAATCATATTCATTTCGTTTTTTTTTTTTTTTGGAATCAGCGTGCGACAAAAAGTTTCAACATTATATCATATCATTGGTATTTTTAGGGATTTTGTACTCACTTATTTATTCAAAGACAACAACAACAAAAATACGCATTGTGCTACTACTCATAACAATTTTTATGAATGAAATTGTGATAGCCTCTTACTCATTCCGTTTTGGGGGTTAGTAGTAAAATTCAAAAACGGAAGTAAAACAATCTTCGTTTAAAATCCATTTCCCCTTTTCGTTTTTCAATGGGATCAATCAGTTATAGGAATCTTCAACTCAAATTGTGGGATTTTTGTTATGATAGGTCGGGGGTCTTTTTATTTTTTGCTGCTTCTTTTTATCTACAGTTCTTTACCATGTTTCTTGGAAATGACTCTGACGCTATTTAGGGAGATAAATCTGTGCTTTTATCTTTGAAAGAATTTCCTTGCGTCTTGACTATGTTGGCAGAGTAATTTAGATGTGAGACAAAACAAAAGAAACGTAATACGTTTTTTTGGGGAAAATCATTGTTCATTAAATAAAAGAGGTTTCAATGAATTTTTATAACCTCAGGCCACTCCCTGTGGGGAAGTACATATCATCAAAATTATCTTCAGAATGGTCCTGAAATTGTTTTCGTTTAACATCAGCTCCAGATCATCTTTTCACTAATAATTGAGGAATTTTTAAAATATTTTTTAGACCATCTTCAAAACATTTTCATCCAGATTTTAAAGTGCATCTTCAGACCGATGGTCGAAGTTTGTTTTTATAATTTTGTTTCGGAACTCCTTTGCCAATACAAATCCTTTACTGGTGCTATGCAGTTTCCTTTAAAACTGTGATGCAATGTCCTGTTGTTTTTAAAGGGTTTTAACTAACCTAGGAGTTTGAATTTTTATAATTTTTGGACATCTTCAATTTATCTTTTGATTTTACCAATATTTTAGATTTTATCACAGATCGGGGACCAACAGTTACCAATGTTTTTAACATCGTCTTCATGGGTTGTATGTACTTGTGGGGAAGACCATTAGAGTTTCAATCTCCCACCTACCAAACAAAGTATATATATTCTTGAACAGCGTAAAATTCTAAGACGATTTAGTCCCTGTCCGTCTGTTGTAATCACGCTAGAGTCAAAACGAATAAAGATAGGAAGCTAAAAAATTGCACAGATCAGACTTTGGTCTGCAGGCAGATCAAGTTTGAAGATTTGGCTATATTGGTCCACCATATTGTATAGCCCCATTATAACTGCACCCGTGGTATTCGGTATTTTGATGATTGTAGCCAATTTTTTAATAAAATTGTCTTAAAATACACAAAAGGAGTTTCTTCTGAGTACTTTACCCCCTGTAAGAGTATTATCTATATAGGTCCACGATATCGTATACCCCCATACAACTGTAACTCCCTATAATAGATATTTTGACGATTTTAGGGACATTATTCACCGGAGTTGTTTGCAATTTCGTAATTTAGAATTCGCAATTGGTACTACAGCCTATGCCAAACAATTGTGCATGCAGGCCCATGTCTTCGTATAGCCTCCATATAACAGTTCCTCCCTATATTCAGTATTTTGATAAATTTAGCTGCATTATTCACCGATTTGGATATTGTTACGGCTTATGACAAAAATTGCCTATGTAGGTCCACGTTTTCGTATAGCCCAAATATAACGGCTATGTTTGGTGTTTTTTAATATTTTTAAAGGATTTTGTTTATTTTGAAAATTTCCAAATTCGTTCTAAATGATAGAGGGTATTCAAAATTCGCCCCGGCCAAACCTACTGCTTTTGTACTTGTTCAACATCTCAAGCTCTTCTTCATCCTCAAGAAGTCTACAATTGTCATAAAATGTATATAAACTTTTATGTATCAGATATTGGGGCAGAATACGTCCGCACCGTTGCCTTCATCCACTTCTGTGTATATGACAAGACCGTCAAGAGAAGAAACAGATTCTTCTGGGTATCTGTATTTCCAACAGCTTTCTTGATCCAGTCTGTTTTTTAGCACTTTTTGATTTGTAATGGGAACTTTTAGGAAAATATTCTTGTTGCAAAATGGTCAGGCTTAATCCCTTTATTGTTGTTTTTTTATAAAAACAACGTTTGTTTATTAGTGGAGAACGATGTTAATGTTTACCCTGGGGCAGGGCAGGGAATACCTAGGATTCGGGAAGAGCCAGCAATCCTCATCCCCTTGTTTATGTCTGGGATATTCTCCCCAGAAGTTATTTTAAAAATAATTTCTATGACAAAAAAATGTTACCCAAGTGACGAGATTTTGTTATACCTTTAATTATTTTTTTTTAATTTTTATACTTTTAGCGTTTTGGTACAGAGGGTATAGATCATTTACTACCGTCAACATGTGCCTCTTTGAAATTACGGCTTTAAACCGCAAATCTCTTTGGCGAAATAAGTTTTAAGACACTTGGAGGACACCAAAGTCCAAAATTGGAATAATAATAATTCTCTTATAAGGGAAGTAAACCCACGAATTTTTACATCTCAATATTAGTGTCATCTATATTGGAGCAAGTCTGAAACTGCTTTAAATAATAGAATAGAAATTTGAAAGCCACCTGTAGGTCAGTAGTAAGTAATTTTTCTAAGGGCCATTCATTTTCAACAAATCAATTTTTGTCAAAGATTCTGCTTTCAAAGAACAAAATAGCGAACATGCGGGTTAAATTTTCAATATACCTTAACTCGAGGGTCTGAAAGTCAGTTTTATTTATAAGATCTGATATATTTTTGTTACAACATCTTATATGTATTCCATAAACAGGCCCGAAATCAGATATTTTCTGGAATAGATATACTGGCCAGAAATCAGAAAAAATGGGATTTTAACGCTAAATTTTGAAATAACTGACATTTGCCTTAACAAGTAACAAACTTTCCGATGTAGTCAGGGGGTGTCACATGGCTGGGATTTCTTTACAAATTTATCGGTTTGGACCTTAGCATATAAATATGCATGCATTTCTATACACCTGATATTTAATGGAGCTTTCTTAGCAACAAATTACTTCCGATGAATTTCCCCCAAAAAATGAATTATCCATGAACTTTGGACATTATAAAAAGTTTGCTCTGTCTGGCATTTCCAAATTGTTCGTCATTTGACACAAAAATTCGTCACGCATTTAATATTGGAATTTCCAAAAACAGATTTTTTCTTTGCTCCTATCTTGCTTATCTTATTTATTTTTTTATATTATTTTACAAATATATCCGCCGGTGTGTATTTTTCCTTTCATTTATTTGTATTCCTACATCAAATCAATTACAGTTTGTGGCAATCAATTATGTCATGTACATACATATGTATATAATTATTTGAACTAATTATGTCCAAATATAATTGAAGATAGGAAAATTTGTCAAAGGCGGGAAATGAAATAAATACCCTCAGCGACCATAATATGAAATGGGAAAATATATGCAATGAAGATATGCACACCAAATTGCCTAATTGCGTTGTATTTTTTGAAGAATGCCGGAAGAAAAAAATTGGACGATAACGCCCTTACTCTGTATAGAGTAACCTGATATTCTCTCCATTAAACTTGGACGGACCCTAGTCTAAAATACTTCTTGAAAAAGTCTACCAAATTTTGTAGTCCTTTATGATTTTTCTCACTTTTTGCAATAGTAAGGGTTTCCGGTTAACAATACCCAACCATGAGATGGGAGAGATTATTCCGATGGCCGTCTGTGTTAGCCCCCTCTATTCGATGGCGTCGAAAAGACTTTTACATATCCAACTCGTCGGATATATGCAATTTGGGGCACAAGCATCTTTTATTGTAGAAAAAACTTCCATCTGTGGAAAACCAATAGAGAGTGTAATTTTACGGAGACCTTATAGGAAGTCTTTTGTTTACAGAAGTTACACGAAATGTGTTCTGTTTGTACTATATACTGTAAGATTTTTTTTTTTAAATTAGAACTTCCCAAAAGTTGTATGCAGTGACAAAACCTTAGAAGGCCTCGTATCCAAAAACAACAAAAAATTTCGTTATTTTCGATGTGGTCCAACTTTTAATACCTCCACCATGTGAAAAGTTATGGCCCAATCGATGCCAAATCCAAAAAGAAACTGAAATATCAAAATCTGATTTGCCTGGAAATTGGGGAAGAAACCATCAAAATACCAAAAATACCCGAAAACCCGGGTACCGTAATATAGGGGCTTTACCAAAAAGTTTAACTACAAGCAAGGAGTAAATCTACCTGAAATTTAATTTAATTAAATTGGGGAAGAAACTTCCAAACTAGCGAAATTTTTGCAAGGATTACACATGTATCCAAAGAGAATCAAAAACGTCAAAAGATGGCTGATTTGGATTGAAATTTGGAGCAGAAACCCCAAAATTCTTAAAATCCTTAAGTTTGGTTGGAAATTGGGGCAAAAACCGTCAAAATGCCGAAAATCAAGAGGCATGTTACAAAAAGTATGGAGGACACCATACAAAAAGTGGACCTGCATTGAATATTTTTTGAGAGGAGTAAATTCACATATAGGGATCCCAAACTGTAAAACTACACCCGATTTGTTAGGAGATTGGGGGCAAAGACTTCGAAATCCCGAAAAGCGGGAGTTCAAATACCGAAATCAGGAGTGACTATAACAAAAAGTAGACCTACAATAAATAGTAATAATTTGTTCAAGGACTTAATGTACGTAAAATTTGAAATAACACCTGATTTGGTTGACCATTTTGTCAGAAACCTCCAAAATACCAGAGATCAGGGGCGGGTTCCCTTACATAGAGGATATTTCAAAAAGTTGACCATTTTGCAAGAAGTAATCTACGCATTGTAAATCCAAATTGTCAAATCACAACTGCTTTGGTTGTAAACCGAGGCAGGAATGTCATTTTAGCAATATCAAGCATCCTAGGATCAGAAGAAAATGGCTTAGAGTTAGAAATAGACAAGGTGGCGCAAAAGTAATCCTCTTATCAGAAAATGCTTTAAATTTTACGATTGGCGCCTAATGTCTAAATTACAGCCAAAAAACCTCGGAATGTCTGTGAAGTACATATGCACGCACAAGGTGGCGCAAAAGTAAACTTCCGATGTTTTTTGATTGTAATTAAGACATTAATGGCCAATCGTAAAATTTATAGCATTTTCTGATAGGAGTATTACTTTTACGCGACTCATTAAAAACTTTATGGGTTTTTGACGAAAATATCGAGACTTGCAAATGGAGTGACAAATTTCATTTAACAAACACTCTAAGAAGAGGACTAGAAGAGAAGACTGGTCAGAAGAAGATCCTCAAAATGTGCTCCATGTAAAAACATCCATAAATATTTTATCCATTGAAGAACTCGAGAAGGATATATAATCCATGGAAACATCAAGAGAGTCTGCTGTTCTTTGAAGGCCTACCAAAATATCGTCTATATGGAAATCGACCTGTTTATGGCCTATATATTTGTAAAATAACTTCAGAAGGTCATCATCCTTTTATTCCAATAGATGGACATTCAGATTTGTATTAAATGCGGTCAGCACAAAAATCTCTTCAGCAGGCTGATGAAACAAAAGGCACCTAAAGCAATTATTTCCCCTAAATCATCTAAACCAAAACAAAGACGAGAGAAAATGAAAGTGAACATTTCTCTCTCCCACCTCTCAAAGTTACTCTGTTTATTATAAACGGTATTCTTATTCTTTGTCTTCATTTTATTTCTGTTTTTTTAGGTCTGGATCAATCAAGGCGACATCATTCTGGTTGGTTTGCGTGACTATCAAGACTCCAAGGCTGATGTTATTCTCAAATACACCTCGGATGAAGCTAGAAATTTGAAAACATACGGTGAATTCCCCGAATCGGTGCGTATCAACGATACAGTCACCTTCGTTGAGGATGGTTTCGATGAGGACATTGAATTCGGTGATGAAATCAGTTCAGATGACGACGCTGACTCTGTGGACAATATCTGATTAACAGCTAAATCGAAGAGAGAAAATATAGAAGAAGAAGCGAAATAATAGAGAAAACAAGAATAAAACAGGCAAACGCAGAGGAAGACATATTAAGAGAAATTGAAAATTGAAAAACCATCATTAATTCAGGAGAGCAAAAGGAAGAGAAGGGTGCATGAATTACGGAATATATATATACAAATTGTCCACAGAGAAATTTACCAAACAAAACATCAAGCGGGAGAGCAGTCAAAGGAATAAGAGCACGATTTATTTATAATTCGATGAAAAGGAGGCAGCCTTTATTAATTTCCAAAAAAAGAAAGGCACCAAATAAATCGTTGAAGAGAACAAAAGAAAAATAAAATCAAATACCATTTAAAAAAAGATTTCAAAGAAGACAGCAGACGTTAAACGTACTCTCTAAAAAAATAAAACTAATAATAAAATAAATTTAAATTAAATATACAAAATTAAATAAACAAAACATTTCAGCAGCAATAACAACAGTATAAAAAATTAAAATACAGTGTAAACTTTTTAGAAATAAAACAAAATACATATATATTATTCTTCAAACAACAACAGCCCCATACAACCTAACACCACACCTTAATTATTGAGAAAAAATATATAGAAAAATACAAAACAACAAGAACTAACAGAAACAGAATAATTTCTCTCAGATATATTATTATTAAAAAGTCAAAACAAAAACAATTTATTAATAATAAAATTTAAACAAGTATATATATTTAAAAAATGAAATTTATCCTCCTGAAAGGCAAAAAACTCAATAAAACAAACTTTACAAATAATATGCAAGCTCTTTTTTTCTTTATTATTTCTCTCTATTCCTCTCTATGTTTTGCTACAAAACAAAATTATTTATTTAGTTAATAAGTTTTTTTTTCTTGTAGATTGTTTTTCTTTACAAAACCAGCAATTTTTATTCCAATATGTGTATTGGTTTTAATTTAATTTTTTAATTTCTTTTTATAATTCCCCAACATTGTAAATGTGTTCCTTTCAATTTTTATAGACTTCGTTTTTTTCTAATAATTTACATATTTTTTGTTTATTTTAATTTTTCTTGAGTAGTGTAGTGTTGTAGGTACCAATATTTAACAAGAGAAACATAAATCCTAGTACTACTTTTTTGTAAAAAAAAAACAAGACAAAAACAAACAAATTGAAATAAAAACTGAAAGCGAACGCCGGTAAATTTTATTGTAATTTTCATTTAACTTAAATATGTTTTAGAAGGTACAATAGGGAAGGAGTTTTAAAAGGTTATCTTCAATTCGTATTAAAAAGGCACAACTAAAAATTGGATAATAGTTTTAATTATTTCCTTTTTAGCTTGTTGAGCTTCGGTAATATGGCAAATAAAACACACGATTTTATTGCCTTGCTTCCCGACGTGTCGTCACTTTTTGGCGACATCTTCATCTACTTTGTATTGGACACAAGCAATGAGTTAGAATTCTGCAAATTGGGATGAGAATCATTGATCAGGATAAGGAAAGATGTGTTTGGAAAGTCGAAATTTAAGGTTACGAAAAGTTCTAAAACGATACTAAACTTCTAAACTGATACGATTGGCTAAAATTGAAATCTGAAATTTTGTCTGAGTTTTGCTGGTTCATATGTAGACCGAACATATGGAGATGGTTTCGGAAAATATTACAATGAGGTGAATTTAACAAAGTATCAATTTGTATACCTTCCACAATAGTATTAAATTAAATTTGTCATTTGTAACACCTCGAAACATACATTTTAGACGCCACAAAGTATATGTATTCTTGATAAGCATAAAATTATACGTCGATCTAGAGTTGTCCGTCCGTCTGTGGAAATCACTCTAACTTCTGAAAGAAATGGAGTAGGTTGATAGATTTTACTCAAATCTGTCTGCAGGACTTTAGGTATTGAAAATGAGCCATGTAGGTTCTCGTTTTGGTATTTTCGTTATTTTGGTGATTCCAAATACATGTTGGAAAATCTGTAAAATTCCACACGTCACTTTGTGTAAACGACCATACTTTCCAAAACATCACTTTTTGTTAACAACCATACTTTCCAAAAAGTCACTTTGTGGAAACGACCATACTTTCCAAAACATCACTTTTTGTTAACGACCATACTTTCCAAAAAGTCACTTTGTGAAAACGACCATACTTCACTTTGTGTAAACGACCATACTTTCTAAAAAGTCACTTTGTGTAAACGACCGTACTTTTGAAAACCTCAATTTCCAAAACATCACTTTGTATAAACAACCGTACTTTTAAAAGCATCACTTTGTGTAAATGACCCTACTTTTTAAAACGACCATACTTTTGAAAACATCACTTTTTGTTAACGACCATACTTTCCAAAACATCACTTTGTATAAACAACCGTACTTTTAAAAGCATCACTTTGTGTAAATGACCCTACTTTTTAAAACGACCATACTTTTGAAAACATCACTTTTTGTTAACGACCATACTTTCCAAAACATCACTTTTGTGTAAACGACCGTAGTTTTGGAAACATCACTTTGTGTAAACCATAAGTGGTGAACTGATGAGAAAACATTCGTTGTCCAGCAGTTTGTAAACTTGCCAAAGAGCTCAGCTGAAAATGTACACCTTCGGCTGGTCACAAGAACTCAAGCGCCTAAGCAGCCATGGTGATGGTTTTGGCCATAACGCCATAACAGCTGATGTTCGCTCTCCGCTCGTTATAATCGACCGTGGCATCAGAATAAATGCCGAATACTATCGTGAAAACACGGAAATATTTTGGCCGCAGACCTTAAACATTCCAACAGGACTCAGCACCATCGCACTCAGCACGTGAATGGTTAAAAAATGAGATTCCTCTCTTCATTTCCAGCGCACAATGGCCACCAAAATCTCCGGATACCAATCCTATTATATTATATACTATTGTGTCTGGAGTATTTTGGAAAGCAAGGTTGGCCCTAAAAAGTCCAAAGTGTCGATCACCTCAAGCAAGCGTTTCGCCGGGAATGGGCCAAAATACCGCAGAGCAACATTCGGGCAGAGTGTGACGGTTTCATTGGCCGTTTGAAGGCCATAATTCGTGCCAAAGTTGACCAATTCGAATAAATCTAAAATTATTCTAAAATTTGATGCTATTTCCGACATTTTTTGCTTTCATTCATGGTCATGAATGAATTTTTTACATGGGCGAGGATATAAAAAGTTCGTCCCGGTCAAGTCCAAGTTATGTTTATTTTTTGGTACATTCTCCAAGGCAGAATAACTTTTATGAAAAGTCTACAAGGAACACTATTAGTTACACCCAAAATATAATCCATCATAGGGGGCCTTGAAATGTTGATCCCAAAAACTATTTTATTTCACTTCGTATTTTTTATAACAGTTTTCTAATTGTTTTGTGTTGTCTTTGGAAAAAATCAAAATTTTGTTCTATATTTCATTTTTGTAAGTCCCCGTCATTGAAAACAGGATTTTGAAAATAGCAAACCTCTAACTGAATTTTGAAACAAATTTCGCTTTGGGAAGAATGGAAGGGTAAGAATACACCCAAATAAACAACATTGTAATAACACTCCCTCCTCTTCCCGCAATAGACAAGTCATGTGTGAAGTGCCCATGGATCAGTCGGCGTGTGGTGATTACTGTGACCCGTGTCATGTGCCACCAGAATTTACACAATGCCCTCAGAGCGGCTGCAATAACTGCCCTTGTGATTGTGGCGATTATTCCAGCTGTTGTTATCAACAGCCACCACGGACCCAACCCATACGACCAAATCCAAGTCTTTTGCGTTCCAATGAACCCATGGAAACAGATACAATTTACAAGAGGTCATACATTCAAAATTGCGGAGCTGAGTGTTATCGCGCCAAGCCCATAAGACCCTGTAATAATATACGATCAGTCAAGGAACCCTTGGAAAAATGTACTGTACAAAAACTCTCCTATATGCCGCACTGTAATGTGGCCCGCTGTCAGGCAATACGACCCAAGGAGAATGGTTTAAAATTTCAGGGGCCTATTTATGCTGTGTCCTCACAAAAACACGATTTTGTTCCCAAAGGCTTCTGTAGACGTCAACCCATAAGACCCCGTCCCGGAATATGGAAACCCTGTGATCCCTTGGAAAAATGTACGGTAAACAAATTATCCTATATGCCGGTGGATGTGTGCCAACATCCACCACCCAAACCCATTGTGCAAACGTATAACTATGTACGGCCTACTGGTCCAGGCGAACAATGTACGGTGCAAAAACTGAGTTATTTGCCATTGTGTATTCCCCCCAAAGAGCCCATGCCATGGGCGGAAAAGGTACGCTGTGTACCGCCAAAATATGAAAATCTCTGTACCACCTATAATTTGAGTTATATACCAAATTGTCAAATCACCCGCATGGCACCCATACTGCCCATCAGTGGCCTGAAAGCGTTAGGCACCGAGACAAATGATAATGGCACGGTGTACAAATTAAGTTACATTGGTCCCGATGGTCGTTGTTGTCGCCCAGCACCGATATTACCCATCAATGGCTTGGAAATGCCCAAAGGTCCCATGGAACGTTGTACGGTGCAGAAATTATCCTATCAACCCAATTGCTGTGGTGAACGTACCGCACCCATTAGACCCAAAGAGAATTGTATTAAACCCTCGGGGCCAATGTATTTTATGACCACCCAAAAACATGATTTTGTCTCAAAACCCTCGACTCGTCGTTCACCCATTAAACCCATGGCCGCCATAGGACGTGCCATTGGCTCTGTGGAGAAGTGTACCATTAATAAATTATCCTATATGCCATTGAATGTTTGTGAACATCGTCGTCCTGCACCCATTTTGCCAAGGCCGGGTGTGGGCCATGCCGAGGGACCGATGGAGAAATGTACCACCTATAAACTGAGCTACATACCAAATTGTTTGCCCCCTAAGCAGCCCTTGCCATGGGCCAATGCTTCGAATTATATTAAGCCAACGGCGCCCATAGAAAAATGTACCATTCAAAAGTTGAGCTATCGGCCACCGGGAATTTTCTCGCGATGTGGTGGTGAGTTATTTAAAGAACCCAGTTTTCTACCCTGCACCATTATACGGAGGGTATATTAAGTTTGTCATTACGTGTGTAACTCCTCGAAAAACTCATGTAAGACCTAGCAAAGTATAAATATTCTTGATCATCGTAAAGTTCGACTTAGTGATGTCCGTCTATTTGTCTGTTGTAATCAGGCTATCTTCCGAACGTATTGATATAGAATGTTAAAATTTTTCTCACAGTGGTATTTTGCCAGTAGGCAGGTTCAGCTAATAAATGGGCCACGTCGGTCAACGTTTTAATATATCTCCCATATAACGATACCTCCCTATATTCGGTATTTTGATGATTTTAGCGACACCTTTTTACCGGAATTGTTTAAAATTTCGTATTTGAAGTTCGCAATGGATATTAGAGCCTATGACAGAAAATTGCCTCTGCGTGTCCACGACTTCGTGTAGCCTCCATAAAACAATACCTCCCAATATTCGGTATTTTGATGATTGCAACGACATTATTTACCGGAATAGATTGAAATTTCGTATTTGAGTTTCGTAATGGATACTAGAGCCTATTACAGAAAATTGCCTATGCAGGTCCACGTCTTCGCATAGCCCCCATATAACGATACCTCCCTATATTCGGTATTTTGATGGTTTTAGCGACACTTTGTTACCGGAATTCTTTAAAATTTGGTATTAAAAGTTCGTAATAGGCACTACAGCCTATGACAGAAAATTGCCTCTGCAGGTCCACGTCTTCGTATAGCACCCATATAACGATACCTCCCAATATTCGGTATTTTGATAGTTTTGGCGACACTTGTTTACCGAAATTGTTTAAAAGTTCGTATTTGAAGTTCGTAATGGATACTAGAACCTATGACAGAAAATTGTCTCTGCAGGTCCACGTCTTTGTATAGCCCCCATATAACGATACCTCCCGATATTCGGTATTTTGATGGTTTTAGCGACACTTTTTACGGAAATCGTTTAAAAGTTCGTATTTGAAGTTCGTAATGGATACTAGAGCCTATGACAGAAAATTGCCTATGCAGGTCCACGTCTTCGAATAGCACCCCATATTCGATATTTTGATTATTTTATCGACATTATTCACCATAATTGTTTCAAATTTGGTATTTGAAGTTCGTAATGGGTACTATAGCCTATGACAGAAAAATGTTTGTGGAAGTCTAGCCTCCATATAAGGGGTTTCATTTGGGAGGTATTTTTCTGCGGATCTTTTATTTTTTGGGAAATTTTTCGATTTTCTTTAAAATGATGGAGGGTATTAAAAGTTCGTCCTAGCCTAACTTATCTGCGTGTTTATTTTAATAAATTTTATCGTTTTGCTTTGCCTTCTCTTCCCTTTCTAGGCTGTGCTCATCAAAATGGAAACCAGACAACGGCTTACCCCAAGGCAGGTATTTGTAATTAATGATCAAAACCCTTTCCACGTAAAAGTACAACAAACAATTATGCAAATTTGATTTCCGTAACAACCCATTCCATTCCCAATTTTCTGGACCCCCTCTAACCATGAAACGATCTCCATTTTTTTTTTGTTTAATAAATGTATTAAAAATATTACATTATATGTTTTGTTTTCTTTATATAATTAAAACTAACAAAAAAATAACTCGTAACTAAATTCTAGGCCATGTGTATGAGTTGTCGTTTGATACCTTCCCGTCGTTTCTTATCACGTTTCTTGCGCTCTTGTGTTGCTTCACGGAAGAGTTCAACACCTTCACGTTCCTCAATGTCATGCTGGATCAACGCCAAACTGTGAAGATTTAAACCAATGACATCTCTCAACGAACTCACATCTCGTTTCAAAGCTCTGATTAGATCCTCCAATAAAGGTTTCATATGTTTCGCACCGGTTATGGGTTTCATGTGGACCTTGAAGAGGAACAAGACAACTTTGGTTAACAGCTCTATTTCGTCGGAACGTTTTTCCAATACGGCGGGGAGTTTTTCTAACAGCTCACAAACATTTGAGAATGGCAGTAGCAATAGAGCCTCCTCCAAATCGGAGGCTCTTATCCGGGCCAATGTAACTAATAGGAAATCTTGTGGATTTGTAACATTTAAGGCCCGCATCAAGGGATGCAATTCAGGCTTATCATCTTCATCGGCTTCATATTTTTGGCAAATTTCCAAACATTCCAGTATAGATTCTGCCGCCTTTTCAGAGCCCACAGTTTTGCGGGAAGCCAATTTTAGGCCCGGCAATAGGGGCACTGCATGATCTTCTCCCGTGGCCAATTGTTGATTTTCCATTTCCTCGCGTTCCTCTTCTTGGATGTCTTGCAAAACTATAGGTTCATTGGTACGTTCAAACAAACGCAAACACCTATCGGAACCACAGGAAACCAAAAAACGTCCATTGGGACTTACCGCCAAACTATAGGCCTCTCCAATGTGGCCCGGCAATGTTATGATTTTATCAAAGGTATCAGCATCCCATTGTTTGATTTTACCATCTTTACCGCAGGTGAAGAACATATGGGTATTGGGTATAAATTGTAGACCCATAACCGAGTCATCATGGGCAAACAACGAACGATGGCAATCACCAAAATCCAGACCCCATATCTTGACATTCCTATCGGAGGATCCAGTGGCAATTAACGAGGAATCATAGGATATATCCATACAGAGAACCGGCAACTTATGGCCATACAAAGACAAATAAAACTTAAACGTGTCCAAGAAGAATATCTTCACCGTGGAATCCAAGAGGCCCACAGCCAAATATTTCATATCAGGACTAACTTTGACACACAAAACAGTCTCCTCCAATTTCAGGGTGTTTTTGTGCAACAATGACAACACCTTGCCATATTTTACTCTTTGTAAATTATCCGCTTCATCCTCATTGTCCACATCCATTTTATCCTCGGGATTATCAATCAATTCAAACGTCCAAATTTTCACGGTGGCATCACTGCTACCCGTAACACAACCTTTTTGATCCGGCAATAAGGCAATCGACCACAATTCATTGTCATGGGCGGGAATTTCTTCCACCACATCGGCCGAACCAACATCCACAATCAAAAGTTTTCCCGATTTCAGGCCCAACAATATATATCTATCGCCGGGCACAAATGTGGAACACAACACATAATCTGCTGGCACCGAGCGCAAACATTGCATTGAATCACGATTCCAAAATTTAAAGGATTCAGCCGATCCCGAACCAATGGCCAAGGAATCGGAACTGAAACAAACACTTCTAACCTCAGAGTGGTGGCCTTGGCGATTGATTGACCTGAGAAGTTTCACAGTCTCCTCTTTCGCAGAAGCCTGTCTCTTAAAACTGGCTTCTTGGCTATACAGGTGCAGCGTGTTATTGGCCAAACTGACCAAAACTCTCAGCTCATCTCTGGCGCCCAGCAAAATATCAATGGATTTTATTTTTTGTTTAACTTTAATGCTTTCCAGACGTTTTATTTCATCCGACAGGCTAATATCCCCGGAATCGGGTGTTTCATTCTCCTCCGATTTCTTGGCTTTTTTCAAACGTTTGGCCAAGCGTTTCTTGGCTTCATCATCGGTGCAAATGTAAAAGTTTTCAATTAAATCATTCGTGCCATGGCAGGAAATCACCCTTTCCGAGGCATCAGCCACCAGATTAACACACCTTCCCTTGCCAGCTCTTTGTATGACACCACAATTGCTAATGGATATTGGACTTATTGTGTCTTCATCATCAATGGACAAACCCTCAACTGCTGACTCTATTGTTTGGTCCACCTGGGTAGTATCCCTCGACTTGAGGCGATAAACATTTAATGTCGATTCACCGCTACCAGCCACCATTAAATCCTTGATAAATGCCAAAGCCCACACCTCAGTACGATTATCAACAACAGTTTTGAAACAAAATTGGGTTTCCAAGTTCCAGAATTTAATTTGTGTATCCTTGGAACTGCTCACCACGATGCTTTGCTCGTTGAAACGTTCCATGAAATGGGCATCTGTCACGGGAGCATTGTGTCCAATTAAACGTTGACGACCCGCCTGTTCCACCACATCTACCACGGTCATTTCACAATCTAAACTGCCGCACACCAAGCGAATGCCCTGCTCATCATAACGCAGAATAGAAATTGCACTTTTATGCAAAGCCAAAGAGCAAACGGAATTTTGGGGATTTGTTAAGTCGAATATTTCCACAACACCATCATTATAGCCCACAGCAACATGTAGACGATCCGGAGAAACCCGCAATGCAGTGACTTCTTGTTTATCACGACGCAAGGTTAGGACACGTTCTCCCAATCTAAATTAAATTTCAAATTAATACGATTATTTCTTTGGAATTGTTTCCAAACTTACCTCAAATCCCAGAGAATCACATTTTCGGCTGCCGCCGAGACCACATAACGGCCCTCGATTTTATTGTAAATCACAAAGTTAACATTTGAACGACCACTGGCCACAATATTAAAGCTATCAATGGCCCTATAGGCCAAATATTGTTTAGTTAAACCCATAATTTATGTTATTTTTTAATAAAACAAAAAATACGCGTTTTCGTTCCTTTGCTGATTGTCTCTTGTTGCACGTGTTATTTGTTGTTGTTTTGAAATGGGAATCTCTCAACCGATATTTTAATCAGTGCAAGGGATATATCAGTCGACTATTGACTAATCGATTTTGTTACATTAAAAGCAAGCTCAACATCGAATAAATAAGGAAAATTAATCCCTGGAACAATTCCTAATTTGAAAAAAATGCATTCAGAGATTTTATATTTTTTTATTATAATTAATAGATTTTAATGGTAACAGACTTGAAACTATTAATTTATGTTAAGAATTCAATAAAACGATATACTTCGATTAACCGTCTTCAACTAAACAAGTCTAAAACAGAAAATAACTAATAATAATAGGAACTTGAATTAAGAAGATAATAAAGAGGTTCTCCAGACCAAAAAAGAAAAACTGGAAATCCTATAATAAACAGACGCAACAACTACAAATATGTAGATTATGCATTTAGGAGCAGATATTCAACCACTTTAAGCATAAATAGAAAACTAGTATAGTTAAAATTTCTTAAAGCCAAAGAAAACTGATTCCACAATATCACAGCTCTTACAACAAAAGACCTTTCACCAATGGATGTTGAAAATCTAGAACATAATGGTTGGGGATTACGAATTACTCCCCTTAAATAGAATTTATTGCTTAATTTATTCAACCGAATTTACTATAGAAAAATTGATATTCTCACGACCGAATTTACCATGGTAAAAGAATATAGGTAGACGCATCGACACAGCTGCTGGGACAATGAACTTTCAATCCATTTTTGGAATTGAAAATATTGAATGAAAAATTATTAAAATTTGTAAAATTTTGTTGAAAAACGCGAATTATAATAACCTCCAAGTCACGTCGTATAAGAAAACATATACAAATCTACTTATATTTCAAAAAACATTTACATTTTTTGACATATCAATGTGGCCAAGCGTTGATGCGTCTACCTGTATTTTTCTACCATGAAATTTACTTTATATCCGGTGCGGAATATACATACTAACGGAAAGCATCACTGGGTTTTTACAAAGGCAAATGCCTTGTTACATTTTGCCTTTTAACAATACCAAAGAAGTAAGAAAAGACAAAAGTCGGGCGGAATCGAATTTATGATCCCCCACACCACTATAAATATTTAGTGGAGCCACCTGTAACAAATAAACGTTTTTATTGGTCATTTAAGTATGAATTTGCTTATTACGGCCATGGTAGAATTAGGAAGGTAAAGTCATGCAATCATATGTTTATCATATTTTTCCAAAATTATTTATTTAACAACATTTCGTAGTTAAAAATTTTACATTCTTGCAGATCTGGAACAGAACAATAATTGCAAAAATTTCCACTCTAAAACATAAATCACCCTCCTCGGTACTTTGGAAATCATATAAAGCTTTGTCATACGGCCGTTCGTTTCGCCCTTTACACGACCTAATAAATGGGCCTTAATGTCTACTATTATTTCGATATCACAAAGGAAAAAGCGGTTATCGAACAGAGCAATGATTGCATAATTTCTTAAATTTGCATGCAGAAGAGAGAATTCTTCACATTTGAATTTGCCATTATCGTTAACGAATCATTAAGTCTAAAGTGGCTTTCACCCTCAAATAAATGGTTGGCAATACCTAGCTATTTTCAAGCATGCGCCCTAGCTGTAGCATACTTTCAGGAGTTGCATGCATATTAAAGTCAACATACAGCATCCCTTCTATTTTTTTCATCATCGATCAAAAGTGAAGAAATTGAAAAGTTTTAGATATTTAAAATAAAATTGTTTTATAATAAAACAAAAATAAAGAATAACAACATGGCTGACTATCAAAATGTGCCTGGAGCTGGTGGTATGTAATTTTTTAAAATTAAATGAAAATAGTAATAGAAAATAGTAAATAGTGTCTTTTTTCTGATTAAAATTGAACAAAATAGATGACTTAAATACCGAATCTGTGGAGGTGTTACGCGAACGTTTGAATACCATGAAACGTTTGATGGCCGAACGCACTGCCCAACAGCAGGATAATCCGGCTAGCACAGAAGAAATTTGGTCCACACGACGTCACACATCGACGGGCATTATTGATGGTAACTTTTTGAGCATGGCCTTTGGTGGTGCCCTGCTGGTGATTGTTTCCGTTTCGGTGTATGCTTTTTATAATCTATATCATGCCATACTGAAGAAATTCCCCTCAAAACATGAAGAATTGTAGAGAGAAAACAAAACATTTGATAAACAACAAATTAGACAAATTGGCAGCAGTAGTTTTTTAATGGATTTTAATATGTGAAAAAAATAAGCATTTAATTTTAAGCTTAAGTTTTTTTCTTCTTTATTTTCGTTTTAAGCAAATTCTTTTTGATATATAAATATGAGAGAAAAAAAAAAAGAATATATAAACGAAGCATAATAGAGTAAATATGTAAATCACAATTTGTAAACAATGACGACGATAGAAAGAAGTTATTGTTGCTTTTTGGATGATGACAAATAATTGAAAAATAAAAAAAGAGAACAAAGTTAATAAACGAAATTATAAATCGTAATAGAATTGAACAATTGATTTGTTTTTGTAATTGTGTTTCTCTTTCTTTGCTAGGACATAAACGTATGTAATTTGTGTTGCAAGCAAGCATCCTGTGGGTAGTAGTACTTTATGAGCAGCATGGCTAAATTTATATCAAATCGGCAATAATCAAATCATAATAATAATAATTAATAATAATAGCAATAAATCTATATACAAACAAGTTTTAAATCAAAGTATAAAGTTTGCAGCAAATAACATTTAATACATTTTCATTTTTGTTTTGTTTTTTTAAATTTTAAATTCTAAGCAATTGTGAATTGTGACTCGTTTTGGTTATGGTTTGTTTCTTGTTTTATGTTTACTTATACAAAATTTAAAGTTTTAAGGGCTGGGGGTGTAATATTATAAAAATACTTTTTGAAAGACTTTTATTTTTTCCATGGATTTTTCGCATAAATTTTCCAAATATAAATTAGTAGTAGTAGTAGTAGGAAAACAAAGCATAGACAAAATTTCCATATGGGATAATAAATTTTAGGGTCCTAGGGTAATGTATACGTACTATGTTTCATTTGATTGATCTCGTTTGATATTCACTAAACTATTTTCTTTTCTTTCCTTTTTGTAGAATTAAAAAATAGGAGGAATTCTAAAAGTGTTTATAAATTAGCATTTAAAAAAACGAAAAACAATGTGTAAATTTAAGGCATTGGTATGTTGGATGGCACATATTCAAGGAAGTTCGCCGGAAATTGTCCCTGACAGCCATTAACTTCACCATATAACCAGTCTTCGTTGATTCTATATAATATGGTGACGATTTCATTTTCCTGCAAAGAGACCATAAATAGAAAATACATTAATTTGAGGTTATGTTCTGTAAAGAGACGTTGCTGGACTTACTTTTATTGCCAAATCACCCTCTACCTCGGCTGGGAAATTGTATAAACATCTTATTTTCAAGTCATCACTTGTACTATTTGTTGTTGGAGGATATGTTGTATCATATGTTGTTGTTGTTGCTGATGTGGATGAATAATTTGAGGATAGCGCCGCTGCTGATGCTGCTGTTGGTTGCGGTGTTGGCGCTTTTGCAGTTAGTGGCACTTTAATTTCAACATAATTAATGGGAAATATACCCTCACAGCCAGAACGTGTACGTCCCCTATACCACGATTCACTAACTTGCTCAAGCAAATAGATTTTTTCATTTTCCTGCAACAGAAAGAAAAAAAATGAAAAATATAAGCTACCGGATAAATAATTAACAAGAATTCTACTATGCAATCAAAACCTCCAGGACAAGAGAACATCTTAAGGTTTTCTATGGATAATAGAAAACTTCTAGGTCTTCTATGGATAATAGAAGACCTCTGGGTCTTCCATAGACAATAGAATGCCTTTAGGTCTGTCATAGACAATAGAAGACCTCAATGTCTGCTATAGACAATAAGACATCTAGGTCTGCTACAGACAATAGAAGACCACAACGTCTTCCATAGTCAATAGAAGATCTCAAGATCTTCTATGGATAATAGTAGACCTCAAGGTCTTCTATAGACAATAGAAGACCTCTAGGTCTTCTATAGACAATAGAAGACCTCAAGGCCTTCTATAGACAATAGAAGACCTCAAGGTCTTCTATAGACATTAAAAGACCTCAATGTTTTCTTCAGACATTAAAAGACCTCAAGGTCTTCTATAGACAACTGAAGACCTCAAGGTATCTTATAAACAATAGAAGACCTAAAGGTCTGGACAATAGAACACATCAAGGTCTTCTATAGACAATAGAAGACCTTGAGGTCTTCTTAAGACAATGAAAGACTTCTATGTCTTCTTTGACAACATAGACCGTAAACATCTGAGTCTTCTACAGACCATAGAAGACTTCTACGTCTACTATAGACCAGAGAGACCTCTATAGGTATTCTTTAAACCATAGAGGTTTTGTCTTTTGCACCCAAGAAATTCCAAGACCTTCCCATGTGTTCAAAAGTATCCACTTGGGAAATAACTTACCCTAAAACATAAATCACCCTCCTCTGTACTTTGGAAATCATATAAAGCTATGCCATATGGCCGTTCATCTGTTGCACCGGCACCATACTCATTCATTTGACTGCCCGCATCCAAGTGTATAGCATCAACTTTACCCGATATGACATCCAGCAATGAAACTGCCGGTTTAGAGGGGTACGATGATCCTCCTAGTCCTCCAGCCACGACCTGGGGAGGAGGTGGTGGAGGTGCACACTGAGGCATTGGTGGTGATGGTGGTGATGGTGGTGTTGGCAAATCAGAATATAAACTCAAGCCATTCGTTGGTTTTGCCAATGTTGGTGGTTTGGGTGCCTTAGGCTTTTGTGAGATTTTCGGTTTGATTATTGTGGGCATATTAAGCGTTGGTGCAGGCGGCACAAGACTTTTGCCATTACACAGGGGATTGTCGGTGCTGTTTTGTACCCGTGAATTGACCACATTGAGATTACGTACCGGCGCCGTGCCAATGGTGCCATAGCGAGGTGCTTGATGTACTGACGCCGGATCGGGTGGACCGAAGGCATCTATCGTTTCCCAGGGATCCAGGGGACTTGTTGTTGCCGGCCTTGAACGTCCGGCGGCAGCAGAGAAATCATCTTCAAAGCCACTTTCGGGCTGGGAAACACTACCGTTGTTGGGTGAACTGAAATTGGAATCGGAACTAAAGCTATCCACACTCAGGCAATCGCTGTTGGATTTTTGGGTAAATGTGGGAGAGCTGGGTGGTGAATCAAAGCTAATTAGTTGGGGTTCACCATTGGTTGCTGTTGTTGTTGTTGTGGTTGTCTGTTGTGTATTCCAGGCATTGTTCCAGGAATTTGTGCTATTGCTGTTGGAAGTTGTGCCTGTGGTTATTGTTGTTGCAGCAGCCGTGCCATATGTGGCAGTACCATAAATTCTTGCTGAGGAATTTGGCGTGGGAGCCCTTGAGGATTTCTTGCGATGGAAAATATTGCTCAATATATTGGAACCGCTGGATGATTGTTGAACCGGTGGTGGTGTGGGTGCAGGATGTTTTTTTGCTGGTATTTTTGGTGGTGGCGGCCGAGGTGGTGGTGGTTTCTTGCCATTTGTTGTTGTAGTTGTTGTCCCACCTAACAGATCAAATGGTGAATCATCCCAATTGGTGGCTGGGGCATAACGTGCCTGGGGAAATTTCCTTGTAATGGAACCATTGACAGCATTAGGACCATTTACGCCGCCATTAACGACTGGTTGAGGAACTTTGGGTGGTGGTGGTAACTTGATTAGTTTGGATCCAATTGAATTTTGTCTTTGTAATTGTTGCTGTTGTTGTAGTTGTAAACGTAACTGTTCAAGGCTTGCATTGGCGGTGGCGGCGGCAACTTGTGCTCTTGATCCTGGCGGGGCCGGCGCTGGACGTGTTGGTAGGGTCATAATTTATAAATATTGAATGACGACAGTGTGAAGCTTTCGATGCACGCTCAAAGTTTATTGTTTACAAAAATGCCAAGCTGAAAGGAAACAAGAGAAAAAAGCGAATTAGTTTTAAATGTGGCGACAATGTAAAAAAGGTGTCTGATTTCCATTGAGGTTAAATAGATTTACAAACCTAAATGGTAACAGTTAACATGGAGGTGTTAATTATTTTACTCTTGAACTTAAACAAGGCTTACAAAATATGATGAGGTGGGGAAAAATATTTTACTGGTTTTTTTTAATTAATTTAGATGTTTATAGACCCAAGGGTCCTTCAAAGCGTAGTCAATGGATAGTTTCCGATATCATGTCATTTGTTTCCAAAGGAGTTCATTAGATCTTCAGCAAACAAAAGAAATATGTTAGCTAAATATTTTTGTGAACAGATTGCGCGGGAACACACTCATTTTTGGCGTAGCAATGACTTTTGACCAAATATGAAATTGCTCTCTCTCTCTCTCTCTCTCTCTCTCTCTCTCTTACTTCATATGTCTCCCTTGCTAAGCACGTATGTTAACCGTGAACACTTATGCCAAACCCTGCGCTTCATTTGAAAGAACTGATTTGTTATTAAGAGACATAAAAATAATAATTCTTCACTCGTACAAAACTCCTCACATCATTTTTTTCTTTTCAATGAAAATCAATTCAATAAAATATTAATGCCAGAATGGGGGTGACAATGTTGCTGCATCTGTTTTTATTTCCTAGTTTTGTCCTAGTGATGCCAACTTGTTATCGAAAAAAACGACATTATAAAAATAACGGCAAAAACGTTGACAGAGAACAAATGCGTTTTTTAATTATTAGACCAAAGTCATCAATTCAACTATAAATAATTGTAAATTAACGAAAGTTAACTCCAATAAACGTTATTTAGTGTCAGAATGGGTGGACACTTTATTGCATCTATGTTAAATTTCCTGGTTCCTTAATAGTAATATCAACTTGCTATCTGAAAAAAGTCATTATAGAAAAATCGCCAAAAGCACTGACATTAAGGTTGTTGGATTTGTTCATACTGTGACAAATGTCATCAATTCAACTATCCATAACTATAAATTTCCGCTTATAAATAATTTTTAACTACTTAATACTCTTATCTTTACAAAAATCCAATTTTTTCAACTAATCATTGAATGTCTTAAAAAATCTTAATTGTAATTTTGTTTCAATGATGTCAAGATTTTTTATTCAAAATCAAATCATAAAAAGATAGCTTTAAATGGGTATGCAGAAAAAGCCTCTAACACTTACTTCGAATTTAATAGAGAACAAAAACTGGGTCCAAATTCTCGTATTCGAATTTATAAATGTACATTTTAGCTTGATTAAATTAGAAATTTCGGTAGAACCAACTTAATGTCCAATGTTAAGACTCTCGACGTTTCAATCATCATTTCCTTCAATCAAATCAATCTAAAATGTCCATGCAAAATGAAATCTCGATCAAAATTTCTTCTCCAATAGACAATGGAAGAATTCCAAAAATGTTGTAAAACAAAAAAATCTCCATGTCTTTAGCAGATTAAGACCTTTCCAAGGCCAACCAAAAAAATCCCACACATCTTTCATTTCTTTCACATCGGAATAAGTTAAATGACCATCACTCTAACCAAACTTGGTATGCCTTCAAGAATTTTTAATAACATTTGTGAATGTAATCATTTAATATTTGTTGTTGTTTTCTCCACCAACATGAAAGTGAAATCTCTCTTTACAAATTAAATGAATGTAGCCTGATGATTTATGTTTTTAAATTACACTTTCTATAAAAGTACTTTGAAACCTACAACTTCTTGTTACGCGCTGTGTAGATTAACGTGGTTTATGATTCAATACAATTGAATAATAATGACCGCCACTTGTGGTAGGAATATTTTGTCATTGGTTTGTTTGATGAAAAAGAAACAAAGCTAGAGTGTAATTCAAACATAGCCAACTAGCCACAACCACCTGCACGCATAATAAATTCAGATGTTTTTGGAAGCTTATTGTTTGGATTTATTTTTTTCAAAATTTTGCAAGTAGCAATGACTCATTTCTTTAAGTTGTGGTGGTGGTGTTTTCTGTGATTGTTATGTTTTTTTTTTTTTTTTGAAGTAATGAAGGTTTTTCTTTATTGTGGTTGTTGTTTTTCTTGTTATCTTTGCTGGTTCGAAGCCCATGAAAAGGGTTATTAAATTGGTAGACTATATGTTATTTTAACATTTACAAAATCATACTACTCTTAAAAGTCACAATTGTCTACAAAAAAGACATACATTGTTTTTTTGGAAATGGCGTTTCTTTATTATATCTGGTTAGCATCACTTCCACGGAATAGAGAAATTGACTAAAGTTGCAGTGAAAAAACATTAAGATTTTTAAAGGATTATAAGTATTTTCCTAACCGAATTCACATTAAAGAACCCAATTGTCTTTTAAATGAAACTTTCATTGTTAGGCAGGAGAGTTAACCGCTAGGCCATAAACGATACTGTCATGCAACTGTAAAAAATCATTTTAGTCGATTTTTTGATTATAAAAAGTTGGCACTACTAGTACGGAAAGAGGAAATTGAGAGGCATTGCAATAACTTTTTATTTACTTTTATTGAGTGCATTAAACGACATTCATAGAGCCGAATTGGAAGGTAAAGGGGAAGAGAAAACTTTGTCATTGTCAAGCATAGAAGTTCACCGTTGCAAACATGCTCAGCAAGGCAACTCTCTCAGTCTCTCTCTTTCTCTTTCTATTTCCCCTGTTGTAAATGAATAGTTAGAAATTGATAAAGACAAAATTCCATTGGTTGTCTGTTTTTTAATTGCTGAAATTTTTATTATCGACGTAATGTAACCACAAAGATCTATTATTTCATTCTTGTTGGTTGGTGGGTGGGGTTTTTGCATAGAATCTATTAAAAGAAAACCTCATAAAGATGACTGTGATCTGTTATGCGTTTCCTACAATTATACTGAACTCGTTCTATTGATTACATCAATAAAAGAGTGGGAAAGGGAACAATGCAAGTTTGACAATTCTCAGAGGGAGAAGGAAATCACTGAAAACATCTGTGACTTGGTTATGCAAGGGAGAAAATGGCGCAAATATTTTACAAATCAGTGTCTTTGCTGCAAATAAATGGTAAAACTCGGGTAATATTTTGGCGAATAGAAATTATTAAACCCTCCCAAGAGAAAATTACGTTTTGCCGCTGTTGCAGAGGTGAATAAAGTGTCATTTCAATGAAGACGTTTTATGGCAAATCTGTTGCACGCCACTTCCATAAGGATAGAAATTGTTTGTAAGTCCATTCTTATAACCCGTTTTTATTGTTATTTCTTTAATACTTCTGTTAGTTTTCTTTTGGTCAGCCGGCAAACAAAGCTATTTCTACTTGGATTATCATTGAATTTGTCATAATTATCTAAAGGGTGTGTGGTGGTGCACTTGAACGTTTGGCCACCACCAGACAAAATGGAGATATCTATTGAAGAGAGAGTGGGGGAGGGGGAATTTTTCAATTTAACGGGGGTTTCAACTACAAAAAAGGTAATAAAAAATGTTACTGTGTGTAAGTCGCCATAATAATTTGTCTGTTTACAATTTCTTTTGTAGGTACCTATTAATTCATAACACTTTGAGTGTGGTTATTTTTTGTTATTGTCGCTGTTGTTGTAAAATAAAATGAACAAGCGAAGGAAAAAATAAACCAAATAATAAATGAATGAATGATGACCTTGAAGTTTTTAAAAACCACGACCAACCAACAGCCAATTACTCAAATAATAGAGGAATAAACAAACAATCACACACAAGTTCCGTGCCCAATTCAATATTTTTGCAAAATGAAAAAAAAAAACATTGTTTAATAATTTGCAAAGCTTTCGAAAAGAAAATGAAAATCGTTAAAATTGAAATATTGGAATTGAAATAGATTTGTTTATTCTTAAATTGAGAAAAATTGGCATGCAATTTTTGAGTTGAATGAGACGTAGAGAAGAAATTCTGGAAAGAAGTGGAATATTCAGGTATTTTAATGAAAAATTATTTTTTCAAAGCCATAATTTTACTAATAACCCTTCCTTTCTTATTTTATAGTCATTTGTAATCCAAAGCATTTTGTAACCTAAAGTTATCACAAAATTCCATTTCTATGTGAAGAAAACAATTATTTCAACAACATGATGCCTCCTCCTTGTATTTATTTGCAAAAGTGATATCCATGAATGGATAAATGGATGGATGATGTCATTCCATGTTTCATTACGACTCTAATTCTCAACTGAAAGTCAAAAGCCTTACAGCGCTTCTTATCATGGAATTTGTTCAGTTCAAAGCGTTTTGCATTTCAATCTGGAGCCAAAGTCAATATAATCATGTGAAATATTTTAAAAATAATCTTTAACAATGACGTTTGCTGAGATTCCATTAACAAATTTATTTATTATTTTTTTTGTCGATTTTGATAAAAAAAGAACGTCTGGTATTTTTTTCTATATACCATTGACCTCAAATCATTTTGACAAAAGCAAACAAAAACAACAAATAGTAGATTTTTTTTTGGTTTTGAAATATTTTGTTATGGCAATGACCACCAACAAGAAGTTTCTTCCCTGTCTGTGGGGATATACCATCATGCACATTGCTTGCTAATCACATGCAAAAAAAGACGGTACCCCTCCCTCCCCCTCCTCATTGTATACGTAGAAAAAAAACTGTTCTGCTTTCTGTTTTGTTTTCTACGTAAATGTCATTGCCGTAATTAAATTTTTACCATTGAGTTTTGCATTCTACCCGAAATGTATTAATTGTCTGGTTGATTGGGAATGCACGTGCCGTTGGATGGGAGACCAGAAATACTGGCAATGTAAAAATGTGTTATACGGATTATATTTTTCTAAAGGGGAAGGTAATTGTTGTGTTAACATGTGTATAGTTCGAAAAGTAAAGAAGCGACTTTATCGAAATCAGCGTTGCAGTGGCCGAAAATGGCTCATTAGCTGAACATATCGCAATATTCCATTCGGCAAATATCTCTCAGCACGCGCCAACCAAGAAAGGTTACAAAATGAGGTTCCTCGCTTCATTTCCAGCGCACAACGGCCACCAAAATCATCTCCGGATACCAATCCATTGGACTATTGTGTCTGGAGTATTTTGGAAAGCAAGGTTGGCCCTAAAAAATACCAAAGTGTCGATCACCTCAAGCAAGCGCATCGCCGGGGATGGACCAAAATACCGCAGAGCAACATTCGGACAGCGTGTGACGGTCTCATTGGCTATTTGAGGGCCATTATTCGTGCCAAAGGTGACCAATTCGAACAAATCTAAACCTATTTTGAAATTTGATGCTATTTCCGAATATTTTTTCTTTCATTCAATAAAATTAAAAAAAATGTAAAAGTTATGGCGTTTGACTTTGTTGCATTTTTTTTATCTCACCCTGTATTTCTTTTTTTGGGAGGCGTACTCGGCTACACGGACATTTGATACGAATGTAGGGGTTTAAAACCCTAGTTCGAACTCAAAAATACGAGAATTTGTAGTAAATTAGGCTTAAGCTGGAAAATGATATTTCCGATAATTTTTTCCTATATTTTCCTTACGAAAATGCTTTAGCGGAAACATTTTCTCAATTAATTATTTTATCAGCACCATTTTCTATACATAAATTGTTATCTGTAAAATGTTTTAGAGGTAAATGTTTTATCCAACGTATTATTCTTACGGGACACGAGTCACGCTTTTCAATGGAAAAATTACTTATCAGTTTTTTAGAGAAAATCTATTTACCAATACTAGTTTTTTTAAATAAATATTTTAAAATTGAGTACACCTAAGTCTGTTTTTACACGGTCTTTTTGTACACGGGTTTGATATAACACGGTTTGAAAATTGAATATTTTTAATTTTTTTACACGATTTTATTCCATTTAGCACGATTTGAAATGTTATGTACTTAAATTTAAATTTAATTTTAACGCATTAAGATAAAAGGTAAGCCAAAAAATATTTTGTATTTATTCAGTTATTTATGTTTTTTAATTTTGTTAAATATTTTATGTATCCCTAAAAGGAAATGTCAGATAAAAAACTAAAAGAGAAGGCAATTTCTTTGGAAACCAAGATTAAAATTTTAGATCGCCTTCGAAATGGAGAAGGCTCAACTGCTCTTGGTAAAACGTTCGCTTGAAATGAAGCCACAATAAGAACTATAAAGAAAAATGAAATTGCAATTAAGCAATCGGTGATTTCATGAATTCTTGTTCTTAAAAATTCTTGTTTTTCACTAATTTTAATAGGTTTTAGAGATTAGGAACAAATCACCCATTTTTGTATAAGACCAATGTCTTTTTTACACGGTTTTTTTTTTACACGGCTTCTTCTGGAACCAATCTACCGTGTAAAAACAGACTTAGGTGTACTCTTTTTCTGCCAAATAAATATATTTTATAACAACAAATATATTTTTTCACACAATTTTTTCATCAAAGAATCGTTTAAAAAGTTGCACGATAAGTTGTACATCAATCACCATTGCAATTAAAAGTGTCAACCCCGAAGATTACCCCCCAGACATGAAGTTCACGAACGCAAATTCTATTTACGAAGACCTTATTAATTTACTTTCCATGCTACATTGTTTTTACTTTTCATAACGGGCAATTATAACCGAGAGCATCATCACCACTACTCATTTGTTATGTCAAATGTGCTCTTTGTTCTCTTGAAGGGGGTCATTTTTTAAACAACACAGAAGGTTAAAGTGTTTACAACGACGCCGATAACGGAGAAACGACGGTTGGCAACATTGTTTTGTTGTTTTTTTTTTTCTTCTCCCAATAAAAACGGAAGTTGACGTTTGAGAATTATGGACGCCGACACAAAATTCATAGAAAAATATTAAAATAAGTTTTTTGTTGTGATAAATAATACAAAAAACTTGATTTTTTGCAAAAATTAAATAAAAAGTAACACACAAACCATTGTGAGTGAACACGTTGGATTTTAATTAACATTAAGAAACGTTTACATTGCTCTACTCTGCAAAGTTTTAAGTAAAAAATTGGATCATCCAACGATTAATCGTAGGAAGCTCTTTAAATCTCCGACCCTCTTGCATTTTATATTCTTTTATAACATTGCATGTCCTAGGAGGCGACCACTCCTTTTGAGCTCCTATTGAATGACAAAAGGATTACTCGTTTTGATCTCGAAAAGAAGGACAAAGGGAGTTAACTTTGTTATCTCCAGAAAGAGCATAGAGGGAGTACTCGTTTTGATCTCGAAAAGGAGGACAAAGGGAGTTAACTTTGTTATCTCCAGAAAGAGCATAGAGGGAGTACTTGTTTTGATCTCGGAAAGAAGGACCAAGGGAGTAATCTTTGTTATCTCCTGAAAGAGTAAAATAAAGAAAAATGCTTTTTATCTCCTTTTCTTATATGTATTTTATAATTTATTTTTAGCAGAAAAAAGCAAATAACAATTCATTTTTAACTAAAATATTTGAAGTTATTATTGTACGATGAGTTTACTATAATTTCTTATAATTAAAAAAAAAACTTATTAATTACTTTATTATTTAGATTTAGGCTGTAGGTTTGCCTTACATTTGTGAAGGGCCAACTTGAACGATTTTTCAAATTCAGGATAAGTTTTGTAGGTGTCTCTAAGTGATTCTGCAAATTATACACATATTATTTAAGACACGTTATAGAATCAAGCTATTACCGAAATAAAAAAAGTTAAACAACCGATATTTGTTTATGGCTGTCTTATTTCTATCTCCATCCCAATTTACCCGAAGCAAAATATTTTCACCAATCATTGCCGGTAACGCCTTTTCTATTCTGATTTTGCCAAACTTTTTTTTTCATATATGATATCTGAAAATGATTAAAGATAAAAACTAATTAACATTTGGTACCAAATTAATTTAATGCATTAAAAACGCTGGCTTACCACTTCTGATTCAGGCTTTTTATTAACTAATTGCTCTGCCGAATTTAATTCTTCTAGGGATTGTATTGGAAAAATGTTGAGACTCTTGCTAGTTGGGTGTATGTGTTTCACGATCTGTTCTAACAAAATTGTCTGTTTACACATAACTTTCTCTAAAGCTTCGACTTCATTTTGAAGGAGGTCAATTTTTCTTTCCAATTTCAGAGTACAATTTGAGAAATTTTCAATTTCTTCTTGTACAAACTGTCTAAGATGACTTTTCGGAACAAAATGTTCACACATTATTTTACCAATTTAAAAATATATATAAATATTTTTTTTAATTACACTTTATTATTACACTTAAAATAATAACGTACATTAACACGTGTTTCACTTCAGACGGACACAAGAAAACTGAGCAAATGGTCGTACAACCATAGAGAAATAATCGAACATGACGAAAGCAATAGTTAAACAACAGTTTTATCAAACAAAGAAAAAATACATGCCAAGAATAAAATGCATTGATGCATCCCTTATTGATGCATTTGGAGCTTTTAGGGAGGCATCGGTTTTTCCAGCTTCGAGGAATTTTTCTTACGTTGATCGTTTATTAATCCAAATGGATGAACTAATCATTGCTCCCCTATTGCTCGGTTGAGGATTACTCCGTATATTTTTTACTGGTACCAGACGGGTGACAACAATGTGTAGCCTCACAAACACATATATATATATATATATATATATATATATATATATATATATATATATATATATATATATATATATATATATATATATATATATTCGCAAATTTCACGCTCACTCATTTTAATATTGAGTAATGGTTAAATATTTCCATATACAGGGTGAGATAAAAAAAAAAACTGCAACAAAGTCAAACGCCATAATTTTTACATTTTTCGTACCCTCCACCATAGTATGGAGGAGGGTATAAAAAATGTATTTCCCAATACTAATTTTATTAAATAAATACTTTAAATTAGATTACTCTTTTTCTATCAAATAAATATATTTTATAACAACAAATATATTTTCGCACTTTTTTGTTTGACAAAAACCGTGTGTATTTTACATTAAATAATCGTTTAAAAAAGTTGCACGATAAGTTGTACATCAATTATCATTTCAATTAAAAGTGTCCAACCCGAAGATTACCCCACAGACATGAAGTTCACGAACGCAAAATCCATTTACGAAGACCTTCACTGCCTTTACACGGTGCAATTTTTAGCTGGCATTTTTATCAATTCTCTTTTAAAATTTCTGCGTAAATCGTCGCGCCTTTACACGGTGGCATTTTACTTGGCATTTTTTCTGACATTTTATTTTATTAGGTATTTCGTATAGAGCTGTATTGTTGTGCTAATTGTTTCACATATTGTCACATATTTATTAAAATTATTAACTTTTATTTTAACTTTCTTTTTTTTTACTTTTTAAAACAATTTACTTAAAACGATCACTAAACACATCACAATAAAAGAAACGCATCAAAAATTACAATAAAGAAACGATATGAACAGCCTGTTCCACGATCTCGAAAGAAAATTTGTGCGAACGAAGGCTACTCACTCACTTTCGTATAAGAATGCGTTCCACTAACTTTCGTTCTTTCTTTCGCATAGCCTTACGTGATTCAGTGTTGCTAAATATTTTTTTGGAAAAATTAATCGCGAAATAAAGCAAAAAAAGCGTCAAATGTCTAATTTAAACGCGAAAAAGCAGCAGTGGCTCTGTCTCAACTGACATTTCAGTTGTAAACAAACAAATTGTAAATAAACAAACAAAATAAAATTTCTAGTGATTGTGTTCAAACTATTTGTGCTCTTAGAAAATAAAAAAAAAGAATATTTCCGTAGCCCTATTTTTTATGGAGGAGGTTCGAAATGTGCCACGGAGGAATTTAAGAGATGCTTCGAATTTATTTGAAGTACCTAACAACCAGTAAGTATGATTGTATTTTTACATTTTTGAAATAATAAAAAATGATTTTTTCTAGGTTTGTGGCCAACTTTCGTGTGTCGAAGGAAGTTTTCGGGCTCTTTTGGATATGATGGAAGAGAAGTGGGTGCCCGGTTGCAGAACTACCCAAATCCGCCCCGATTTAAAACTTCTTCTGCTGCTTCCAAAAATTGGCATTCCTCTGGCGAACACAGGATTCTCCTCCATTTACTCAACTAGTGCCCGCAGCTGTGTAGTTGATGATTTTTTCGTGCTGGAATTGAGAAAATAAAAAATATATATATTTGTTGTTCACATATTAAATTGCATTTATTATTTTTACTTACATTTTTGTTTCCATTTTCAATCAAGCAATGTTTATGTTAAAACAATTTTCCTTAATTGTTATTATACGATAGCAAAGACACAAGTGACTGATTTTGACATTTGTGTTCGTATGCGTACGAAAGAAAAAAGATAGTGGAACGCAAAATTACACTGAAATGCTTACGTTTTCGTTCGCTTTGATTTTCGTGCAAATTTTCGTTCTGATAGATTTTAGTGGAACGGAAATCAGCTGTTTGTCGTGTAAAAGTTGTGCGAACGTGTTCTTTCGATATCGTGGAACTGGCTGGAAATGTCAAAATCATAAAAAATTCGGAAGAAGCAAAAAGAGAAATGCAAAGAAAATTGCATGTAATGCTAGGAACACAATTGGAGCGAACGACGAATTTCGCCCTACGCGGCGACAAAATGAGCCGCGAAAATTCGTCGTATGGAACACAATACCGACGAAATTATAAAACAGCTGATGAAAAAAGTAAACATTTTGCTCATTTGTTGACTACAATGAATTATACAAGAACACATAATTCTTTACGTTCTCTATTATAATTTCACTTATGTCCATCTTCTCTATTATAAATTCACTGATATCCATCTTCACTCAGGCGCAAGTACACAAATAAATAAACAAATTAATTATTTTTTTTTTATACGAGTAACATATAGTAGAGTGACCATAACAAATTTTAAAGTAAAAAGTAACTTTATTTACTAAAACACATAAAATTCGTACAAGTATGGCCACCTTGTACTGTTTTGTTCGCCGGTCGCCGGCGTATGAAATAGAAATAAAGCTAATTGAGTTCGCGGCGACCGACGAAATTTTCGCCGGTGCCGTGATTGTGTGCACTTCCATATACACATATGTGTTTTATTTTTGACGACGAACATACGCCGCGAAAAAATTCGTCGTTCGCTCCAATTGTGTTCCTAGCATAACCCTGTGCGGTGGCTTATCGTGCCATTTTTTCTTCTATCCTTGTCTCTCTACACCTTTTACCAACAAAAAAAAATGGCATGGTTAAAAAATGTCACCGTGTAAAGGCAGTGCTTATTAATTTACTTTCCATGCTACATTGTTTTTACTTTTCATAACGGGCAATTATAACCGAGAGCATCATCATCACTACTCATTTGTTATGTCAAATGTGCTCTTTGTTCTCTTGAAGGGGGTCATTTTTTAAACAACACAGAAGGTTAAAGCGTTTACAACGACGCCGATAACGGAGAAAACGACGGTTGGCAACATTGTTTTGTTGTTTTTTTTTTCTTCTCCCAATAAAAACGGAAGTTGACGTTTAAGAATTATGGACGCCGACACACAGAATTCTTAGAAAAATATTAAAGTAAATTTTTTGTTGTGATAAATAATACAAAAAACTTGATTTTTTGCAAAAATTAAATAAAAAGAAACACACAAACCATTGTGATGTGAACAAGTTGGATTTTAATTAATTAAGAATTTTTTTTTTATTAAGAAACGTTTACATTGCTCTACTTACAAACTAAATCTTAAAACTAGACGGGTGACAACAATGTGTGGCCCCACACACACAGATATAAATTTCACGCCAACTCATTTTAATATTGGGTAATGCTTAAAGATTTCCATATATACAAATATTAAAGCAAATGTTTAGTAAATTTTTTGCTTTAGAGCACGTTTTAGGATATGAATACAAATTTGGTAAATATGTATTTAAATTTGCCTAAAGAAATAGACGAACCATATGCGGGTTGTAGGCATAATAAATAAATACGGAAGCATCTAAATCTATGTTCATTTTGGAAATATAGAGGTGACATTTTAATGGTCAACTTTTTTTGTTAATAGGAAAATGCATTTTCTATACAAAAATTGTTTTTGCAGCATTTTTCTCTATTTTATCTACAAAAATTGTTTTTTTGCACCATTTTTTTCTCTCTTTTATCTACAAATATTTTCTTAACAAAATCTGAGCATAATAAAATGTTTTAATCGTGACATTTATTTTCATTATCTTTCAGTTTTTATCTAGAAGATTGATATAATTTTGAGCTGGCCCCTTATTAATGCAAATATTTTGTACCACCGGTTGTTTGTGTTTATTTCACAGCACGTACCACAATAATAAAAAAAGAAAACAAAATTGAAAACAACTAACAAAACACCTGCTCTGTTCTTACTCTGTTTCAGATATTGTTGACTGTCTTAAGACAAAAAAAATGTGTATTTGCGTTTGTTGCTTTGTTTTAGCACACGTTGATATGTATTTGTTGTAGTATAACAACAAATAAAAACTAAACCATTGTTTCATTGCAACTCAAGTTTTGAAACACAATAAGGACACATAGTAGTTATATGTACCGGCTGTCATTACAGATGTTACAAATTTTTGTGCAAAGGCATAAAAGTGTGTTCGCATGTGTGCGCAAACAATAAACATCCTCTACTTGAATGGCTTTTCAAAGTTTATCCACCTGCTTCTGCTTCTTCAGCAAAAATTGTTGACACACAAAACAAGAACAAAGGAAGGATTTTGGGTTTAAGATATAGAAAAAAAATTATAAAAGAAAGAATTTTTACAATGCAATTTGTAATACTTGCGGACGGTAGTTATTACCAATTACAAAAGAAAATTTTTTTCAATTTAACGTTTTTTTCATATTTTAGAGATATGTAGACTTTTTGGCGCTTTTAATAATTTTAAGATGACACTACTCATATATGAAGAGACATTCATTGTTTTGATACCCAGTGATACACATAACTGCATTCTTTTTTGTTTTGACGTTTTTAGCATTATTAATAAATTCAAGTTGGCAATACTTCTTTACGAAAAGGAAAGTCATACTCATACGGTATTTTTCATTTCGACGATACTAATAAAAATTTAAATGAATAGATTCGACTTGACTGGTATTTGGTAAAAACATATTTTTCCATTTTGACGTTTTTTTTTTGCAAATTCTAATTGGGTATTTTCAATAGGAAAATTCCCAACGATTCCCCCACATTGTACTTATTATTTGACAACTTTAACAAAATTTGGCAGGTATAAGTTTTTAATTTATAGATTTTAAACAACGATTTTACAATTTCTGTCATCACACAGCATTAACATTTTCTTTTTCCATCCTCGCAATTTTAGGTGGTTTTGGTTCATTCCAAGTTGGCTGTCAGCGATGCCAACGCTTTTTTTCTCTTTTCCACTATTTTTACGAGCCCACAGTGACTTTTTTCATTTTGGCGTTTTTAGTTGACTTTTGGTAAATTTCACTTGGCATCACTGATATTAATTAGGAAAGTGAACCGCTTTATTTTAAGTAGGTATCAATGATTTAACTCTCTGTCTCTTTTTCACTGTCAATTCACTTTAAAGTAGTAGCCCAGAGCGATTTTTTTTCTTTTTGTCGTTTTTGGCTAACTTTGGGAAGTTTGGCCACTGATATGCAACAGGTTGGTATCACTGATATACAAAAGGAAAATGAAGAGATCTTACAACTATATATTAGTGGGAGAAAGAGAAAGTAAATTTTATTCTCTCTCTCTTTTTAAGTAACACCGCCGACAGAAGAAAGGCTTAACTCATTACTTAATTGCACAATAGGTATTTTATTTATTTTGGCGGTGCTAAGAAAACGTTAACTTGTAATCACCGATTTACAATAGAGACATCATGATGATTTGACATCTGATTGCAATAATGCGGGAGAGACATAAATGTTAAACCAACTGTTTTTTTAATGCTTCTAAGCTAGAGAATTAGATACATCCAACATTTTTTCGTAAAACGGGTAATTCTTACTCTCTTTACTCACTAATGTGTTATCGATATTTCTCATTAAAATCAATCATGTTACCTCCATTCCATAACCGAATTGCTCCAACTGTTACTAAAATTAAACACAATTACATATGTACAACAATTTTTCTTAAAATAAAAATAAATAAAATGCCACCCGTTTTTTAATAACAATTAAATAAACACTTGAATCATTGCATGTCATCATTGTGATTTTTTGTGATAATAATAAGCAAAAACCACCACAGATATGATTAATATTTTTGTTTCTATATTCTGTCTTCCTTTGTAACTTGTACTAGAGAATATTACTTGAAATTACCCAATACAATATCTAATATAGCTAATTATTTTCTACTCATACACCAACTAACTTTTTTATGTTATTTCCACATCATCAATTCTATTGAATGATCGCAGTGTGGAAGAGAGGCCGCCGCCATATGGAATGTACACAACAGACTTGGCGAGTGAGTCAGACTTAGCGTGAGTATATTATCAACTTTGACCCAGATTTGTGTGTGTGTTTAGCTCAATTGTTTCTATCATCTGTATAGTTACATATATATTTATACTTAATACATTCCCTTACCTCACACAATGTTATTTAATTTTGATGTGGGTAGGAGAACCTGAAGGGCTGAGTTGTTGAGGGAAAAACTTAAAGCTATTTTAAGAAAAGTAATAGGTATTAAGAAAATATTATTCAAATATTAAATTTGATTTTGTATTTATATGGGTGAAAATTATTACTTAACAAAGTAAGGGGTTATAAAAATAACAAATATATAAAACCGTAAACTACCGAAAACCAATCAAAACCAAGTGTTGTTTGTTCACTATGACATGTTAGAGGAAAGAGAGAGAGAGAAGCTTAACTTCAACTAATAAGAATAATCGATTATAGAGATGATAGAGAATAACAAATTGTTTCGGAAAGAGGCCGATAATGTTATTTTAATTAAATGTTATTTCATCCAATTATCAGGAGAAATTGAAAAATGGCAATCATCACCTTAATTGTTTAAGTAGATAATTGGGTGAACTTAGCTCTCTCTCCCGCCTATTCATCAAAAGATGTCAAAGTGCAATGACTTTTCTCGTTCTAGATAAGTGATGCCAATTTATGATAGGTTTTGCTTGAACTAAAAACAAATAAAAAGAAGAAAAAGTGGTAACGAATTGTCATTGTGT